TATTACTAATTAATTATTCTATTCCAAATTCTTTCTCACACTTTTAAAAGCCACATCCTGTTCTTAAATCTATTTTTGGCTCAACTATGCATTTAATTAAGAGCAGGACATATCTCCCTATGCTCTGTGTGGGAAAAGCTAGATTTCTTTCATAAACCAATAGTAATCCTTATCACTTCCCTTTTCCCCTCAAATATAACAAAATAGAGGGAAATTCCTTTGCTACTTTCCCTAAGATAAAAACTTAAGCACACAGTTTTGGAGTGCAATTTTGAGCTCCGCCTTTGCTAGAAAATGTCTTAAATATACTATGTGAAGCTAATAAAATATTTTTTGCCTTCCAACTGCTATCTGCGTGGCATAACAACACTCACCATGACTGCTACCCTTTCATATATATAAAGTTGCCATCAGGCTCAATCAGGTTTCCTGAGAACAGAGGCTCATCTTGTAATTACCAGACTATATGTCAAATGTTTCATTTTAAAAGAATTAAGAGGTAGGGGAGAAAGGTTTAAACACTTATAATAATAATTAAAAAAAAATTGAGTCACATCGAAAAAATTGAGTCGTAATATTTTATGCCAATAAAATTTTGAGCTTAAGCTATATATATATTATAGATAGATAGATACATATGCATGAATATATACATATACAGGGTCTATCTTAAGGACTTCAAACTATTAATTAGTAAAATCAAAAGTATTAGCCTAATTTCTAAATTCTTAGCCAAATGCAAATTTCTAATGATTGATTTTTTAACATAGAAAACTTCAAATCAAAATACAAATTTACTATAAATTGAACTATTTTATAAAATGCAATTCAAATCAAGAGTTATTTTCTAGTTGGGAAGAGTAAAGAAGCAATGAATGCAAGAGACGATGAAAAACGTAGACGTTGGATTAATTTTTTATAATAGACTAGATCAGTATTATAAGGATAAATTTTTGGTAACATTATGTTATTGTCGCCTTATTGTTATTTTAGTATCACATTATAGTATGTTATTGTCACGAGAAAAATATTTTTTGAAAAAATATTTGGATGATATATGCATCTTGCGATCACATAACCTGTTTTATTGACACAAGCATCTTAGATGTGATATCGCATGATTCAGCAACGAACATGGTAATCTGTATTTTACAATAGTTTGTCTCAAGCTTACATAATCTCTCTTGTTACTTACATCATCTCTACTTTATACAATTCTAATTGGTTTAGCGATGTATCTAATGGAAATTACTGTAATCGAGTAAAAAAATACAGGATTAGTTCAGCAAAATTTCTTTTGACCTTTCTTTTCCCAGGATTGAGGGGAATATATATGTTTCGATAGAAAAAATCATTAGCCAATATAGCTGAAACGCTTTTTCACCAAATTTACGATTTTATCACATTTGGTGAGGTGGCAAATGCTTAGCGAGGGCCCTGCATATATATATATATATCATTCAATTTATACTACAATATATTATATAATATAAGCTAATGAAAAATTAGTTTTTTAAATGTTGCTAATACTGGTAAGTAAGACATATACAACACTGGAAAAATGGAAGAAAAATCTAGGAAATAAACAAATGGAAAATTATAAATTAATAAAATACTAACTTTGGGTGCATCTTGAGCAACAAGAGTATGAGGACCAGGTCTTGATTTTAAAGAAAATCTTTTAATTTGTCGGTTTGCGAATATAAAAAGCAACACAAATGTCTAAAAAATAATAAAATTACTGAGCATCAGACAAAATAATGCAGATTTTAGTTAATATTTTAAAACTATAACTGAGCAGATAGTATAGATTTATACTTTGGTGAATTACTTCACAATTAAGTCAATGAATTACTAATAAGTAATAAAAATATTTTAAACCCCAGACAGTCACACATATAAAAAAACATATTTAAAATGCTTTTTTTTCCCCTGCATATCAAAACAAGATTTTTCATTCTACTAGATAAGAAAACAATGTATAAAGGAGAAACATTTTCTGAAATTGCCAAAGGTTTCACGTAACAGTAAATCATAGGGAAATTTTGATAAACTTTCTGAAATTGTCAGAGATTTAGGTAGAAAACTGTACAGAAGAGAAATATTTTCCAAATTTACAGATATTATCAGATAAAACATTTTGTAAAGAAGAAATATATTTTCCTAAATTTATTGAAATCGCCAGAGAGTGAAATAAAACAGTTCGTTCAACATCAAAGTTCTATTTTTGGGAGGAGAGGGAAATTGAATCCTTGACAGTTTCAGAAAAAATGATAAATAGATAAATAGAGTTAGGAATTTCATTAAAATACATTATATTTTTAAAAAAATATGTTTAATAAACTTTTATTTTCTAACGAAATATTGTTTTGTTTAGTTTAAATTAGTTAGACTGATTAAAATTTTTCTTTTATTCAGAAAAAATACCAAAATTTATTACCAAAACACCAAATGCTATGCAGATTATTATAGCGATACCAGATAAAGGATCAGCCATTATCAAGGTAATGGAAAGGCAAAGAAAACGCTAAACATTTCAAGCAAGGCATTCAGATAACTGCAAAAAAAATATATATTAATCAAAATCAAATAAAAAGTCCTTATAAATTTGATTAAATTTATAACAAACCTCATTTTTATATTTTAAATTGCAGAGAAATAATAGCAAAACATTATAGAAACACAGTATAACATTTTAGAAACTCTGTATAACATAGTGAAAATTAAGAGCTCTATATATGTTTTTAAAAATCGCATTAATTTGTTTACAATTTTTTTCAATTTGAAAAAAACATCTCAGAATACTTCAATGGTTTCACACTTTTTATAAATTATACAGGGTTGCCACTCAAATCTAGAAAAAAAATTCCTTGTGTTTTCCCTGTACATGTTATACGCAATATATTAAGAGGAAACAACAATTACTGTGCTCTTATGTGAGCTATATTGGGCTAACTATATTTATTAGTTTCAATTGCTGGAAAAACAGCCGAGCATACTTAAATAATGCTATGGTAAATTAAATAGTTTAGTATAGCTGAAATATCATGGTTAAATATCCCATAGTATAATATCGCATTGAGTGGACACCATTTTTTAAAAGACAAAAATAAAAAATCTAAATTCCCTGTATTTTCCCAGTTTGTAAAGAAAAAATCAAAATTCCCTGTTATTTTAGATGATTTTTAAATTCCCTGTATTTTCCAGGTTTTCCCTGTTCTCCCTGTGGAGTGGCAACCCTGTTATAGTAAGGGAAATCACTACTTCCGCAACTGATTTAAAACTAAAATATATTAGATAGGAATTAAATTAAACTATTTAATTAAGAATACTAAACTTTAAAAATAAAATTTCATTTGAAACAAGATAGTAAATAATTATATAATAGAATATTAAGAGCTCAATGCTTTTTTATATTGTTGTGTAAATAACGCCACATGTAATTAAATATAATAAGGTAATATCGTCTTATCAATGGAAAATAAAATTATAACTATCTTATTGGATACTATTATGGCATCATATTTCATTTACTGCAGCAAATATAGCTAATAAATGTATACCATCGTATTTAAAGTAAATACTTTATATTTAATATAAATATCATTTTGTGCGCTATACAATATATTTAATAAATAAAAGATGTATAATAGTTGATTTTACAGCTTTCTATGTCATACTAAACAAAAAATGAGATTAAAGATTGAAACATGGTCATTGCAACATTATTTTGGATTCACAGAGCAATGTACTTTATTTATCTTTTCATAAAATCATTTAGTAAAGAACAGGGTAAAGAAATGATGTTTTTTAAATAATTTTATAATGAAATATCGCACCGTGGTTTTATGGTTCAAACTCAACATATTACACAAAAACTTTTTAAGGAATCCACTACTTTTTTTTAACTTGATATTTCCTGCTAACTGCTAAGAAAACCGAAACGACAGACGAAAAGTGATAAAAGAAGCGGTTTACAGTTTAAATATTCTATCCTTGATTTTTATAACATAAAGGGAAAAAAATAAAAGTAACGAGGTCAAACAATTCGAAAAATTATTTTGAAGAAACTAAATGAACAAAATAATCATTAATAACTTGATAGAAGATTTGAAACTAAACTATCCAGTTTTATCCAGGAAGTAGAGTTTCGCAGTGATTATTTCCGGTTTCACTTGCGAAAGTCTACTTCCGGTTTAAGTAAAAAAATAAACAAGTAATGACTGTTAAGATGTATTTAAAAAGCTACTATTATGGTGACTAATTTTCTCAAAATATAACCAAAATGAACTATACTAAAAATCTGCAACTATCTTTTTCTAATTCGCTGCTTAAAAAAAGTCGATTCGCTATTTTACATAATCATGTAAAATTTGATTTCTCAAGTAAAACATATTAAATATTTTTTAGTTATATTGTATTTTTATTCTTGTAGTTCTATATTATGCAATTTTGACTGACAGTTTATTCACATAACTATCATATTTAATTTAAGAAAATTCTTAGATCTGAACCTTGCCACAATCGATTTTTTACAATGTTACTATTTTATTACTTTTATAAATTCCTAGTCTGTTTTTTTAGTTAGATATTTTATAAAATGTAACTTTCTAAATAAATTACATTATTTTATATTATTAAGTATGAATATTGTAAGAAAATGTAAAAGGTGGGCAACTATTTTTTAAGTCCTACTTCAGTGACAGGCCTGCATTTCTTTATATTTGCAAATCATCTGGGAAGATTTGATTCAGAAATTCTAAACTTGAATTAGCTCAGTCTATATTTGTTGTGTGTAAATGTATAATTTTACTCAATATATATTTTTTATATATTGGTAATATAACTTGATTGTAAGCTTCAAAAGATGAAGCATTTATCAAGATATTTTATGGGTTATTAATCGTACAGCTATTGTGTGGCTTTGAGGAGAACTCCACCAGACATCAGTATCGCGTAATAGCGAGTATTATGGTTGTGAGTAAAAGTCACTTTAAAAAGGGATGTGCGGTAAAAAGTTTTGTCTTAATCGTGGCATAGGTTGACACGAGTAAACCAATTGACCCCTTCATTCCTCATTTGCACCCGGATTAGAATTAGGCTCTACCTTATTACCATAGTAACAGAATGCCCCAGACTTTTAGTCTGCAGGCGTTCTCCTCAAAGCCGAACTACACAATTTTAAGTTAAACTAAGCCTAAAATAAATAAAGTTTATACAAGTTTTTTTTTTTTTTAATGTGACCCAGTCAGTTATCAAATTACTATATATATNCAAAATCACATAAAAATTAAAAAAAGTATATATATATATATATATATATTTTGAGCATGAAGGTACCAATATTTACAAAAGCACAATTTCTTTTTTTTAAAATCATTTTAATGAAGGAGCCTATTTTGTTGGCAATATTTTTGTGACAATGCAAATAAATGATAGTAAAATAAACTTATATAGTCCCTATTTGTAAATAATAAGTTTGATTTTATAAAAATCTGTATTTAAGAAAGAAAAACTGTTAGTAAATATTTGTAGATTGCAAACTAATTTTTTTTTGTATGTATTTATACTTTAATCTTATGATCTATTGGTATACATATCTGGATATCCTAAAAATGACAGACAATTTAAAAAATCTTCTGAAGAAAAATAAAACAGAAAAGGATGGAAATGTACTACAGATTGGGGCATAATGCAGGAAACTAGAAAAATTATTCCTATCAGTTTTAAAAATTAATTACGAATTTTATCGAGAAAGGGAGCTTTTTATTAGAAAACCTATCTGTAAAGCAATGTTTTCTGTAGCAGGTCAGACCATTCTAACTGAAATATTTGTTCAGGTCTTAAATTTATTTTCAGTCTACACCACATTAATTTGGCAAATTAATTAATGTTTCTTTGAAAACATTTTTTTTTTTTCAGATAGCAATAATATTTGTTGACAAACTTCGCAAATAAAACACTGTAAACCATATATCTCTTTCCTTTTTTCTTGAAATGGTTAACTAAATTGTAAGTCAATTTTGATAACACCAGGTATTTTATATATATTTCTCATTTTAACAATTGTACTTTGTTTTCAGATAAGGACAAAAGACCATGTATTTGAGGTTACATGTAGTTTTCATCCTCGCATCGTGTTTGACACCTCCCCTTCCAATCGCTGAAAGGGAGTGGCTGGGTAGGGCAAAGGGGTTAGTGTATGTTTGCAGTCATTGTCATGCCAAGGACTAGATACAAATTTCGCCAATGTGGGGAATCGCAACTTGGCGTCTCATAATGTAAAAATATACCCCTATTCTCCTGAAAAAGTTGACTGCGCGTGCTCGAGAAATCGAAACTGCAAAATAATGGAAAATCGCACTCCTAGCTATCAATATCGATATCATAAGTAATTGATGTTTATAAATACTCATTCCACAAACGTACGAGTTCGCAGCAGATTATTTTGCCAAAATATTAATCTAAAAAAAGATGTAGATCCCTTTCTTTCTCACAAATCGCAAAACTTATCCTCAATAGCCGTTTATTTTTCTTGGCTAAATATATTATGACATTATATTTCGTGCAAACATCAAGAGAGGGTAAAAACCTTATATTAGATACAACCCCAGAAGTTCAATTATTTGTATTCGATTTTTATAATAAAAATAAGTAAAATACGAAAATAGTGGTTTTTTTCCATCTCTTTTTTTTAACACAATGCAGAAAATGCTTGGTAANTTTTCCCCCAAGAAATTGCTGAAAAGGTTACAAGCGCACCACCCAAATGTGAGGAAGAGCGTCATGCTCTTCCTCGTTATATATTTTATTCTATAAGTTTCATCGGCAATAAACATTTGGTGTAAAAGCGGCAATAATCGCGCCAAGCTAGTTTACGGGCTAAGCAGTAGAATCATATGAGGCTTTGAGTCGAAGGGGAGGGAAAATGAAAACCTGGACCCGAGGATGAAACAACTACGACACCGTATTTGATAGTATTAGTCACCTAATTAAACACCGTAGTATGACAGTAGACATCAATTCTAAACCAAAACGTCCGACAGTAAATTGAGTGAAATAAGGAAAGGGTTGAATATGTTATTAAAAAGTTTTTACGCATTTAAATTTCAATTTTCGCTTAGATCTTTTGATTAAACTAAAAACATGTAATGATAATATTCATCACATTATTTTGTATATTTTTTTCTAATCAAATGACACGTGAAACTGTTTTTAAAAAATAATGTTTATTGTGATGCGTAACATATTTTAAAATATTCATGTCAATAAAAAATTACAATACGGACGTTGAGTATATTTCCACTCATAATGTACGTGATATAAAAACCAACAGACATTACTTAAGTTAGTAAAAGAATACAAAGTATTAAATACTAAATTAACAAAGCTATCTTTGAAAGAAACGCGCTTAAGCAGCAGAATTTTCAAAAGAAAGAATAATCGAAGCAATAAATAATCAATGGAAATAAAATAAAAGTATGACTACCGAAGCCGATGTCTTCAGGGGGTACCAGCCTCCTCGGAAGCCACAAAACAAAACCTTTTCTATTGAGAGAGAGGACAAATGCCAAATTAACTCTCTCAGTACCCAGAAGGTTTTATATATGTCCAGGAAAAAATACATAAAACCATTCAGAAAAGAAATTCGAACAAAAACTTGAGAAAATAAAAACCCACATTAAACCGGACATTACTTAAAAGATTTTCAATTTGTCTTTATCAAGTTGCCTAAATTTACAAAAAAATAAGAGTACAGCACAGTAGAAAGGTGGCTAAAAGATAGTACAGAAAAATCACCAATATTAAAGCTAGCATGTGATGAGTTAAACAAGTTTAGTTGGGAAGATCTAGCAGCATATAAAGAAGCAACTATTTGCGAGCAACAACTTGATGATGCCACTGAAAAAGGCACTAAAATCGGTCACAAAAAAGGCAGAAAATAAAGGGAAATCGAAGTTGCAAAGAATCTACTTAAAGCTGGGGTATCTATCAACCTAGCTGAATCTTCTGGCCTCCCTAAAGATGAAATTTCACGGAGATCTTTGTAGTTGGTTGTCTACTGTTGGATCATTTAAAAAAGTTTGTTGCCTGCTTTTTCTGACAACTGACTTTTTGACGAACTTAAGAGAAACAGCAGCAAGTAAATTAAGTGTTCCTTTAACCAACTTTTCTAATAAAGATTTGCGTGTTTGCTTTCCTTCTTCAATTTCACGGTTTGAACCTATAAAGGACAAAAAATCTAAGAACTGATAAAATGCTGGTGTTCCTTCTCTGCCAACCACACTTTTAACAAATTTAATTTCTTCATTTTGAATTCCCTGATAACTAGATCAGTTATTTTTTTATATCTCCCAAAAGCTTTTCCATTATTCCTTTTGTGATCGGGCCAAATTCATGAGATTCTGACAGATGTAAGGGTATTTCATGTAATTCCTCGTAACTATATCTAACTTTATTAGGCTTATTTTCGATCTTATTTTTATAATGCTGTTCAGTTCTTCTCTATTAGGCTGATTAACTGCAAATCAAATATTAGTTTACATAAAAAAAAATTCTTTTATTTCTCTTTCATTCTCCTCAGAGAGACTTTCTTCTTTTTCCCTTTGGAAAGAAGGCGGAAGCTTTTTCAAGTCTATTAAAATAGACTTGAAAGCTTTGTTGTTTCTTCCTGTAGAAATCAATAAAGGCTATTTTTATTTACGCATGGACAATTTAATACTTCTTCTTTTGAATACCTATACTATCAAGTTTTAAAGGATGAAAATTCTAAGATTGCCAATTTTTTTAATATATTTTCTTCTGTAAGATCTAGACATACATTAGTATCGACCAGTGTTTCCCAAAGTGTGGTATGCGTACCCCCAGGGGTACGAGAACAGTTTAACGGGGGTATGCGTTCTTATGCGAAATATCTTGCAACAAACAAAAATTTAAAAACAAAGCTAGCCATAAAAATTTACGATTACGTATTTTTCTATTGGTTATTTTTTGCAGAGTTAACAGTTAATAATTAGTGGTGTCAACAGCTAATTGTAAATTAACTTTTGTGCAATTATTTTACAGTAAAAAATCTATTCATTTTTAATATTAATGGTACACAGCATTACGAAAAATTTAGAAAAGCCACAAGTAGACACTGGTATAGACAATAAAATATTCTATATTCTTATCCTTTTCTAAATCTTCAATGAAAAGAGTAAAATATCCGAGTTCTGGAGGGAAATAACTGACTATAACCAATATCACTCTCTGCTCATTATGAGCCTTTCCGTAAGTAATTCTATTTTTATAGTTAATGATAATCTTATTAGACATATCACAGCTTTTACCTTTAGAGTTTATAAAGAACATATTTTTAAGCAAAAACATGTCATGCAAGAAGGAGATTAATAAGTTGAATTCATATATAATGCCAGGTCTTAAGTTTTTCAAGAGCTGTTAAATCGCATAATATTCTTTCCTGTAATGCTATATAGTTGTCTTGAACTTTACTATCTTTTATTTCACTTTTAACAATGCTGTTCAATTCTTCTCTATTAGGCTGATTAACTGCAAATACTAATTTATCTAAAAAAATTTCTTTTACCTTTTCCTGAGGAAAATTTTTTTCTCCTATTAATTTTTGTGCAGCAGATGAAAATTTTAGACACTGGAAAAGTTCTTCTCTTGTTATTTCCTCTTGCAAAAATTGATTAAAAAAAAATTTAAAAAACGTGTCCTTCCTCATTATCATTTGTAAACGGAAAGTCTTTCAAAATACCACATTCTTCCATGCTTAAGTAATCGAATTTAAAAAGATAAAAACTCCAAGATCGCCCTTGTTTCAATTTTTCTTCCTCTGTAAGATTCAAGCTTGAATTAGTATAGATATCAAGATATTTTATCTTACTTGATTTAGAGATTAGATATTTAACAAAACCATCAATAAAAAAAAACTTTTTTTTCTTTCTCTTTAGTAAATAATCAAGCATAACAAATATCATTATATATATAATATTTGTCTACATTTGCAATTTGTATATAAATATACTTTTTATAACGAAGGACAATTAAATTTATCAGTTCCGGAATTTTCAAACGTGAATGATAATAAGGGGTATTTATATTCATACGTAGACTTTCTAAGTGAGCAAAGGATGATGAGGAATGCAATGACTAGTTTGATAAGCATTGTGCAATTTATCGTTTCTAGGTTCACTAGGAAATTCTGAATCTTCATTACTAGAGACATTGACATTCATGTGCATCCTTTTTGGTGCAGAACATTCAGAACTTTTACAGAACATTCTTGTTCTCTAGAGCTTACACTTATTTTACAATTTTCCTTACCTGGACTCCTTGAACAACTATCTTGTTTATGCCAGGATCTTTCAGTATTTTGCAATGGTAAATTTAAAACCTCTTATTATCGCTTAGTAGCAATAAAAATCAGCAAAGCAAAGTTTTTTTTGTTATCTCCAGTACTTTTTATAGATATATATTTTCATACTTTTTAACATAAAATTAGTAATATGGTTACTTTTGTTGAATTAAAAACAACTGCTGTGAGAAGAGTTTTTCTTGGAATCAAATGTACCTTACGAATTTTTTTATATAGCAATTTTACTATATGCTAAAATCAGGTATATTGGCACACTTTTGTTAAATCTAAATACGATATAATTTACTTACTAATTTACTGCTTCTCTTTTCACAACTTTATTTTTAACGCGACTTGTTCTCATAAATGGGGCATGGGCATTGATTGTAAACAAACAATGGCTGGAGCCTGGGTGTCAAGGGTCTCGTTGAGCAGTAGGCTGTGTCTGTCGCCTTACGGAACAGGATGCTCTTAGGAGGCATGCGCAGTTTACTAAAGATAACTGAATAACGCCTCCTCCTTGTCCTTCGTGGCACTCTCACTTCGAAAATATAACTAATTATAACTTACCAAGAAATAATAAAAGATTACTAAGAGAGTATTGTAATTATATTTTACTTAAAGTATTGATTTTCTGCCTTTTCATTAGAAATTTGTATTTTCTTAATAGTTAAATAGTCATTTCTTTAAATTAATTGATTAACGTTGAATAAATAAAGAGCATTGCAAGAATTAATGCTTAATTGTAATCTTTATTTCATGTTAAAATGTCTAATGACTGGTGATTAAGACGTCAAATTGGAACTATTGCGAGTAGAAATCGAATAAATTGAGTATAGTTTTTAAATACAAATATATTATTTATACAATCCTTAATGATTATTCAATTTTTCATTGATTCGATAAAGTGTTCACGTGATTACTTAATTAAAAATACATTAGCAATATTTCATGGAAACAATAAAATGTGACCCAAGAATACATGTGACGAAATTAGTGTGACCAATATAAAGCATGTGACCCAATTAGTTTAAGCTGTAATGTAAGATTTGGGGCACTATTTATTGAGTGTAGGTTAATTTTCCGTCATAATTGAGGGAGATATGAGCTTATTACAAAATAGTTAATTAAAAATATTTTAGGCCTATATTATTAACTTTAATGCAAAATAAAATTATATCTTGATTAAAATCATCAACGAAAGGAAGGATTTTTGGTGAAAATAATTCGAATTATTTTTACAAATTTACACGAAGGAGAAACATAACACTTTAAAAATTTTATATTTCAATAACACTTCTATAGATGACACCACCACAATCTTTCTTAATTTTTTTTTTTTTTTTTTTGAAGCTTCCCTTCCTTAACCTTTGAGAGAGGATAGAAAGCACAAAAAACTAAAAAACAGGCTCTTTACTGAGTAGAAGTTGATGAAATTACAAAATACGTGTGAGGTTATCTTAAATCTTTCAGATCAGAGTTAAAGTAATTAAATTAATAACCATTTAAAAATAAGAAGTATTGAGGAGGACCTGAAGAAGCAATTTCACTATTAAAATCCTGGCATAAATAATTATGTAGTTTCATTATAAATATGATTTGTGATTAAAATGGTTTAAGATTTTTGCACAATTGTTCAAATAAACAACTGAGTTTGAAAATTGAAATAAACAGTGAAAATGAGGACAATATTGCTCTGTTTATGATAATTGTACGGTTCGCCTAATACATTCATTATCTCAAATGTATTGTATTTAATAATTATTTGCATTTTTTTCCACGTTTAATTTTTTTTAATACAAATTCTACAATTTGTTTTCAACCTCAAGTCATCTCTTTCTTCAATGTTCTCGAAGTGATGTGGTGTAACTACCACTATTAATATTAAATGCCAATTCCGTAGTATATAAGGCATGTTAACTTGATTCTATCATGAGGTATAGTTCGTTCACCAGGAGCTGACACTTGGCTCCGCCTTCTTCACGTGGTAGGCGACGATACTATTTCACTATTTTCGGGAGAAGGATTGTGAGCTATCCTAAACCAGATCTCTAGGCCCATGGCCCATACGCCAATGTTTGAGGTCTCATCGTCATGACAGAACCCGCACGGCACGACAGCCCAAGCAGTAAGTGAACCCTAAGACACAAGGCCCCGAGCAACACAATTCTTGTCGGATGGCAATGGAGGATGAATTGTTCCTGTGGGTGATGCAGCAGTCGAAAGGTGGTGATGTCAAACTGCGGTACCAGCACTGGGCCGACAGCAGCGATGCAGCCACCACACCGAGATCCACCAAGTGATCCGAAAAACCTCTTGCATAATTAAAACCAACAAAACTTTATTAAAAAAATTACAAAGATATGCCATAAAATTAGCAATAGCTCACAAAACAATTGTAATGAAAAATATTACAGCAAAAGTAGGATGCGCTAAGGCTTACAATTCCGGAACGATGTGCGCTCCCTAGGATCGACATCTGTTTCTTTTTTGTATTTGTTCTTTGGCCCACTGGATCAATGGACAGCTTTGTTGGTGAGGGCAGTGATTTGTTTTGAGTCCTAAGCGGAATCTTAAATCTCTTTGCAGTTGATGCAGCTGCTCGTGTTCTGACATTCATCTTTCATGTGTCAGCTCGATTCACAGTTTTACGGAAGATTCTTCGTGCTGGCAAAATTTTGCCATATGGCAATGGCAGAGCCTGTTGCATCGATAACATCGCAGAGGTCTCAAGTACTCGTTTGCCTTATAGGAGTCCCAGCCAATGCTGACCCGTCCTCTTCTTGTTATCTTAGTGTGGGAGCTAGGGTCAAGTTTCAAGACCCAGTGAGTACCCCTTTTTCCTTTTATAGAGAATAAAACTTCAATTTCAGCTTCTTTGAGTTCGTTGTTTGCCTCTTTCAATTTGGATCTAAGTTCATCTTTTCCGTATGTCTCTACGGTTCCATAAACAATCTGTCTAGGCTTCCATCTCTTCACTTCTTGACAAATATTCAAGTCGGTGTGCTTAAATTCATCCATAATTTTTAATGTGCTACTTCGTTTCGCCATTTTTATTTGTACTCCGCCATCTCTTATCTTTTTGATTCTCTTAATACCGATATTGAGTTCACTCGGTTCTATATTCTCCTTGACCAATTTTACCTGTGACACTCTCTTCCTTTTTTTCTGCGTATATATTGTTCTTTTTGTTATTGCTTTTTATCATAGCTTTTAAGGCTTGTTCGGCTTCGTGCTGTAGTCCTTTGTGTAGGCTAGTATTTCATTTTGCCTTGTTATGATGTCACTGTACTCGAAAAATATCATCCATAGTTGTGATACTTCAACCAGACCCAGTGGGGGCTAGTCTGCCTTGGTTCTTATTAATAAATCTGCCAAATTTTTCTCTCAGAAACGCTCCAGAGAGGGACCCATTCCTGTTGGTATTCCTCAAAGGAATCCTCGGAGCTCGCTATCGGACGTATTAAAATCAAAGTTTGCTTCTAAAATCATAGACCTGTGCCTAATAATATCTAGACAAATTCTTAAAATCAAAAACTCAGTGCACCAGTTGTTATTGCAGTCCTCGGACTACAGCTCCCTCCGTCTGCGTTATTTGCCGTCAGAGGACGTTTCACTCTCGAACCACGATGTGGTGCAGAGCGGGTTAAGAAAGCTTTAATTTCGATGTTATTTGGTCTTTGTTCCGCCGTGGGTATTTGCCGTGCAAAGTAACTGATATTAACTCCAAACTCTAAGGGGTTCGAGGGATGCCGCTTGGATAAATAGGATTACGCATATTTGTGTTTAAAACTACTACTGATAGTTAAATATAGTATTTCTTTAATTTTCAATAACTTATGTTAGCTCGTATATTTGTTTCTAGCACACGCGTTTACTTCAGTACTTAAGAATAAATTTATCGAGCTTGAAAGAATTTTTAATTTTTTTCCCGAGATCTCGTCTGCTTATTTAATTATTCATTTAATATTTTGAAACAAGGCTGTATTCATCACGCAGGCCACGTCGAGACAAAAGATTAAGATTAACCTGTAATAATTGTTTTCAAAATTGGAATTTAATATTTTTGATATTGTTATTATACAGTCGAACCTCGCAAACTCGAACCTCGATTTCACGAATTTTTCGATATCTCGAAGGAAAAAAAAAATTCTATGCACTCAATGTTAAAAAGAACTTGATTTCACGAAATTTTTTTTTCTAATCCCTCGATAACTTGAATTTTTTTCCATAAATAGTGTAAATTTTTTTTTCTAAAATTAAAAAAAATATTCCGAAAAAATAAGAAATTTTAAGAATGGCTGACAAGGCATGGAATGATGTGTCATCCTCTACGATAATGAATGGCTTCAAGAAGTCTGAATTCATTAAAGATCACAAAAAAGTCAAACAATCAATATCGTTAATTCTGCTGAAAACTACACCGAAAATGATTGGAACAGATTGACCGGACTCATGAAGCTTGATGACATGGAATTTCATGACTTAATAAACGTAGATGATGCAGTAACAGTGATGCAGTCAGTGGAATGACAATGATATCATCATCATCTCTCAAACGAAAGCTTCTTGTGAACTATCAGAAGAAGAGGATGAGGAAATCGAAGATTTACTGCTCAATGTTTCTAACAAACAAGCACTTTCTGCAGTGGACCAGGAAAATCAAAAATTTTAAATTTTTCCTATATACAACATTCTTCAGTTTTAACATTACCTTCCCCATTAAATTTACTATTTAATCCATATGGAAAAAGAGTTTTAAGACTACTAATGTAAATGTTTTCTAAATCAAGTCTATTTTCTAAATTTCCATAAAATCTAAAATAAAAAGAGTAACATTATCAAAATCATGAAATTGATAATGCAAAATTTCATAATCAGTGAAACAATTACTATTATTAAAATAATCATTCAGTGTGCTTATGAAATCGATGTTTGACCTGGTTAAAGTGAGTTTTAAGTTTTTATTTTCTGATGAATTTGTTTGAGTTTCTTTTCTAAATTGGGTCTTTGTATGTCATGTTTTTTCCTGAACTTTTATACAAAACCTTCGGGGTACTGAGGGTGTTACTTTAGGCATTTGCCTCCCCCTCAATAGAAAAGGTTTTGTTTTATGGCTACCGGGGCCGGTACCCGCTGAAGACGTCGGCTTCGGTGGTCATATTTTTATTTCCTTCGTTTCCTTTATTGCTACATCAATATTATTAATTATGATTATTCAATTTCACTAACTGAGATAAAGACTTTTGAGTAGGAAGCATTTCTTTATCTTACTTTTTTTTTAAGTGATGGAGGGGATTACTTGACAACAGGAAAAATTCTTAGTAAAACAAGTGCTTGGACTGGACACCCCAATGTTCCATTAAAAAGTCCTCCAGGAAGGCTAGTTTGGGGAGAGACCATTGACAATGCCTAATGGTCTTTCCCCGCAGTCTTAATGTTTGATCCAGAAGTTTCCTTGTCTTCTGGGTTGCGGACAAAAGTTTGGTTGGTGGTGAAAAAAGTTCGGAAAAAAGGTACCAGTAAAAAGGGTACGTGGGAAAAACGGTCCGGCTAAAAAGGTACCGGTAAAAAATGTCCCGTTGAAAAAACTACCTCAACAAGGAAAATGTATAGGGTGTAGCGTATCTACCACTACAAAATTACAACTACGTTAACTCGACTCTATGTCGGGGTACCTTTTCATAGATGAAGGTTGACATGGTCAAATACTCCTCTCCTCACAAGGGAAATTTCTTACGAGGCATTATCCTTTCATTAAGAAAGTTTTCCTCGCGATTTTAACAGTTATGATTCAGATTCAATAATTAAGATAAAGGGGAGCTTTCTTTTTTAAAAGGTGTTTATTTATTTATTTTTTCTGGAAGAAGTTATTTTTTTATTTTAATTAATATTTTTTATAGACCTGATGCGGTAACAATTCCTTGCATCATGAAAGTTTTCCTCGCTATTCTGATAGATATGATTCCGATTATTTGTTAATCAAGGGAAGGGGATATTGAGTGGGATGTATTTCTTTCCTTCTTATAAAAGTAATTTTTTTCCTTTTTTTATATACTTTTTTAAAAAATTTTTTCTCTTTATATGCAAAAGATATGTTACTTTTTGTTTTAAATATTTTTTGTTCTGTAAAAAGCTGAGACGATTCCCAGCATATAAAACATTTTCTCGCTATTTTTGAAAATCAATATTTAAATTCTGTCATTAAATTCTAAGAGAAACAGTCATTCATCATTGAAATTTCTTTAATTTACAAAATCAATTATTGATCAAATTTTCTCTATTTTTTGGAGCAAATTTAATTCCGATAATCTAACAGAATTTTTTTTTAACTATATAAGACTGTTTTTTTATATTTAAAAAATACAAAACTATGTTTTTACTGGTAATTGGAGTATCAGATAAAAAAATGTATAAATAAAAGGGACACACAAAAGAGAAGAAGTTTCTTCTGTCCCAAAGGGTTAATGATTTGTCTCTCAATGAGAGATTAAGCAAGCATCTCTGAACAATCGATATTTCAAACAAGATCAAAATAAATTTTTTGTATTGTGTATACAAGTGATTTTTATCAAAAAGCATTCAGGCGTTAAAATATAAATTTTATTCTGAACTGAAATACATTTTGCTGTCAAATTTACAAAGAGTGCAATAGTTTCAGGCAAGTTCCTGAATGTAATTTTATTTTCAGTTTCTATTATTATTATAATAGTAAAAGCAAAATTGAAATTATCGTAATAAACTCACTACCGACAATTTTAAGAAGTTTTTTTTCCCATGACTTGTCGAATTTCAGTTAGAAAGCATTTAAAAATGAATAAAAAAGTATGTAGATAAATAAAAATAGTAGACACAATATGAAATGTTTTTAATCTAAATTATTTTCGTAAATAAAAGGGGCAAAGATTTTTTGTAGGTGGACTAACGATGTAACCCAAATATTCTCCACAATGAATATTTGGAACATACTGATGTGGAACAAAAAATTGTTGTAGGTGAGCTAACTATCATACGTGTTAATAATAAATGTTAAAGAAACATGAAGAATAATTATATAATATTTCGGATTTATTTTCCAGTTAATGATCCATCGTATTATTTGTGAATTTAATATCTAAAACATGCAATCAAGTTCTTTTACTAGTTAAAAGAATAACAAATAACTAAGGACAAAGTTTATACAAATGTATGAGAAATCTTTCTCATCTTTGCTCAGTCTTCAGAAATGACGAAGAGAAAAAAAAAAAAAAAAAAANCGAAGTAAGAGCGTCCGTCTAACCTCCCCCCCCCCCTAGATATTTAATTTAATTTACTGATGGTCCACCTGATTACCAATCAGCATGGTCCACCAATTTACTGATGGTTAAATTTTTGTGTATCTCATTGTCATCTGTTGACACTATACGCTATCACATCTCATTGTCATCTGTTGACAATATCCGTCTCCACTCAGTAGAAAGCAACTATTATTCCTAATTTTAAATGACTGGTGCTGTCATCTATTAACAGAATACACAAATATAATACACACTAACAAATACTCTGTAATTTCTGTTTTGTAACACTTTTTTGTTATTTATTAAATGAAAGAGAATAAAAATTCAATATGGAAGAAGTTTAAGAAATTGGAGTTGAAAACAAATGTATTATGAAAATTGAAACATTTTTAAGTACTTAAATTAACATTTCGTAAAGAAACTATAATTTTAAATTAATAAGGTAAAATTTAGTGGTATTAGTTTTTTTTTAATATATTTGAATTTTCTGTTTTTGGAATATTTTTAGTAGTAAAAAGAAGGGAACATTGTGTTGAAAATAATTAATATACATAAAAAAGTAATTACTATACATATCCCATATATATATGTTAATAAGTTACGTGAATTGGTTAATGAATTATGATACTTTTACAAGAAATTAATATTTTAAATAAAAGAATTTCATTTATGAAATTTAAAATAAAATTTTTTAAAAAAATCAACTTATATCATTTTTGAATGATATTTTAATAAATATTTCATCAAGTAAAATTAATTAACGAAAAAAGGCTAGATTTTAAATATATCATTCCAAAAGAATTTTCAGAAATAAAAAACATGAAACTCTAAAGATTATTTGTTTTTTTTCTATGAAAATAAAAAAAAATTAAAACAATAATTTGACTTTTGATAACATAAGATTTAGAGTACGACGTATTATTGCTTTAATATATTGTTTCATGAAATATTTCTTATGAATTCTTCATTAAGCAATCCTGTGAATATTTCATTGAGTCAATAAAAAAAGGGTGAAAAAAATTAACCTACACTCAATAAATAGTGCCTCAAATCTACATTATAGCATACACTAATTGGGTAGCATGCTTTATTTGTCACTCAAAAATTTCGTCGCATGTATGCTTGGGTCGCATTTTATTGTTTTCATGAAATATTACTGATGTATTTTTAATTAAGTATTCACGTGAATACTTTATTGAGTCAATGAAAAATTAGTGAACGAAGGAGGAAAGCTATCTTAGAATTATGAGTTGTAAATATATTTTATTTCATTCATATTTATTGCTGCCTTTTCTCTGTATTTTATTGAATGATAATAGTTAAATACTAAGAATTGTATAAATATATTTGCATTTAAAAACTATACTCAATTTATTCAGATTTCTGCTCGCAATTGTTCCAATTTAACGTCTTAATCACCAGTCATTACACGTTTTAACATCAAATAAAGATTATAGGTAAGAAATTAAGCGTAGATTCTTGCAATACTTTTTGTTTATTCAATGTTCATCAATTAATTTTAAGAAATGGTCATTCAACTATTAAGGAATTACAATACAAATTTCTAGTGAAAAGGCAGAAAATCTTACATTGAATAAAATATAATTACAATACCCTTTTAGTAATCTTTTATTATTTCTTGATAAGTTTTTATTAGTCGCATTCTTGAAATGAGTGTAATCGTGTACCACGGACAGGGAGGAAGCGTTTATCAATAGTAAACTGCGCATGCGCAAAAACTTGCCTTGAAGGGGCATCCTGTTTCCTATGGCAACACACATGTCCTATTGCTATGCACTGCCAATCGATCGATAAGGTAGTGTTGATAGAATTTAAAAGGTTAGTAATCATTTAAAAATTTTAATAATTATATGTGTATATATAATTTATGTATTTAAATTTATAAAGAAATGAAAGTTTACTTATGAAGTTTACATGTCCAGTATCACTGTATTTTTTAAGTGATAAATAAAGAATGTAGTTCATTGTGTTCGTCAAATGAAATCATCAATTAATATTTATTTTTAAAAATATTGATGTAACCAGAGACATTCTAACAAATTTTCTCTTTTAAATTTTTCTATTTTATAGTTGTTATTTACAACTTGTTTTTCTTTTTCAATAAACATTCTTACTTGATGTTCTAATTTAACTTTATAAAGACAATTCATTATTAATTTCTCTTAGATGAAATGGCTTGATTTTTTTTCGTGTTTTTCCTTATTGTTTCACTGAAGTTGTATTTAAACTTAATACAAAATGGAAGATTGGAATCAAGGTGGAAATTTTATAAACAAACCAATCCGTGGATGGTTGCATCCAGATCAAAAAATAGCTGACAGCGGAATTGCTTATGGTGTCAGAGTATGTATGACTATGACTACATATCCAATATTTTATTTTATAAATTATTTTTTCACTTCAATATTTGTTTATATAACTGTAATGGAAACAGTGTTATAGGCCATGCCAAGTTACTCTACTAAAACTTTGTGTTTGTCCCTGGAAGATTTGTGTATCCTGATCTATGGCAGAATAATTGCGAAGTCTTGGCAACTTCAAGGCTGCGACCTGCGAAAAACTAAAATAATATCACTGAAAAGGACTTACTCGAAGAATATAGCTTGTAGTCACCCCTGGGCGAACCTCTATATGTTTTTTAAAAACATTTCATGGCTCACTATAAGGGAAAGTTAGGAAATTTTGTTACTAGCCACTGGCTAGCTGTAGCACTTTTAACAGTGGTCACTTTTTAAAACGTGACCTCATATTTTAAAAATTGAGTATGTTAAATGATTAAACAAAAAAACTGTCAATATTAACAACGTAAAGCATTTTTCAAAATACAGTAAACATTACAAGGTATATTTTTAAAATGAATAAAAAAAATATTAAGAAACAAGCATGAAATAAAGTACTTTTTAGACTATACACTGAAACCTTGGCTAAACAGACAGTCTTGGGAGTAACAAAAGTGTCCCTTTACGGGAAGGGTACAGTATGTTGTAATCCCATTTCATTTGTTCAGGTGTCGAGTAGCTCGGTTGGGGGGGAAGAGGAAGTAAGAGCTTGATTATATTAATTATTTATTTACAACAATATTTACAGATATCATAATTGCACAGGCTCATTTGCGCGCACCTCTACGCTTTCTTACATTTGCAAAAACAAAACAGACACAACAGTTGCGGCACTGCGCCACCTGCCAGACGTTAAGGAGAAAATTTTAACAAGTAATAACGAAGTTTAACCCCGTAAATTGTTTTTTAGAACAATTGCAATGATATAGAAAGAGTTAAATAATCTGCAATAACTATTTGCAATGATATTTATTTAAACTTCAAAAAAATACTTTTCTCAATACAAAAAAAAATGTATCAAAACTTACATTTCTATACTGATATATATGTATACATAATTCTAGATGTAGTTACAGAAAAATGAGTATGTTTTTCTTATTTACATAGATATTCATATGATACCAAATAGGTGCTTTAGTCCTATGTCACTTTATCAGATGGTTTGATTATTAGGTTTACACCTCCCTATCAAATTGAATCCAAATCAATTGACTCCAAATTGAATATATATAGAAAGGAATTTTCAGTGGGGAAGATAAATTGAGAGCATTTAAGGCATCCTATCAGCTTGTGGGGTCTCATAACCAGTATTGATCAGATCAAAACATGCCACTGTCTGTAATGTTTCACATGAGTAGTAAAATGTTCTCTCCTTTCTTTGCATAGATAAAGGCATGTAAAAAGGAGACGTATTGATAATTTTGTAGTGAAATAGCGTAATATTTTTAGTTGTGGATTTAAGGTAAAAAAATTACATGCTTTAAAAGATGGTGGAAAGTTGCATATTTGCTTTCTTGGAGTTTAAAGCAGAAATATATTTTTTTTTAATTTAGAAAAATTGTTGTCCGGTTTGTAGTGATAGAGTATAACATTTCAAGGCATAAATTACTGTCCGTGTCTGGTTATGGGAGTGTCTGTTTTTAGAGAAAGTACATAATAAGTTATTCATAATAAAGATTCACAGTTAATTAAAAATATGTCCTTTATGAAAGGTGTTCGCTTTGCAGGAGTGTTCGTAACGGGAGATTTTACAGTAATAAAATACTCATAATAATTTCATATTTATAAAAAAATAAATAAAATGCACATTGAGTGCATGCATGCATTTTCGACCTAAAAAAACGGAGACCTGGTGGCGACTGATAAAAAGTTTTAGCTATTTTATCAATTTTGTGATTTGTCACATTTACTCGCCCTGTGGCCAGCAGTGAACTTTAATTTAGGCTTTTTTGTCTTCTTGTCCAAACAATTTTGGGTATGCGTGAGTGAGTTTCAAAAGCAAAGCTAATGGTGCTGTTCCAAATTATTAAAATAATTGCAGTTCATAAGGAAATTAAAGATAAAGATATTAAAAAAAATTAAGATAATTAAAAAAAAAAAAAAACAATGTATGCAATTAGCGTGTGTTTTTGAGAATACCCCTCTGATTTATGCATTCTTCATCTATTTGTTTTTGTTATTTTTGTGTTTTTTTTATCTATTTATATTTATTTTTCAATTTTAGTATATAGGATGCCTGGAAGTCAATACTTCTATGAAGAGCTTAGATTTTGATACAAGATCTCTCATAGCAAAGTATTTATTTGTTTTCTAAAATCTTAATGACTACTATTATGACTAAGGTCCAAATTTTTATGACTTTTGCATTTTTGGACATTTATTCACTTTTTGGGTATTTTTTTTTTTTAATTTAAAGTTTGGAACATTTTTTTTGCATTTAATTGTACTTTTTAAGTGTTTGATAAATTCTTTTATTTTATGCTAATGAGATAATACCTCTTCCTTTTTTAGCATGTGACGTTTATTCTAAACTTAAATGTATGAAGAACATGTATTGATTTTTTTTTTACATTTGGCACAAATGAAAGCAGTTTTAAATAGGAAAACATTTTCTTTGTTAAATACTGCATTTAAATATTAGGGTAGTTTTAAGGACATTTTTAAACTGCATTTAATGAGATTTTTTAGGCTATCAAAATTCGGGCTTTAATTATAACTTTTATTGTGACTATTATGACTTTTTATTATATGTATGATTTACTATATTGTGATATAATGTAATATATTTGCTTGAAATTTTTAATTTCTTGATATTTTTTTATATTTAACAAAAATTTGTCAAAGTATGTTAGAAAATCGCCTTAATTTGTAAGCATTAATATGTATATAATATACAACTGTTTATTTCAAATTTTATTTTTTTATGTTTAAAATATTTATAACAATAGTCTTACAAAGTATCACATTTTCATTATTAAATGGTTTGCATTAATGAGTTAAATATGATGTTTTGAATTTTATTTTGTTTTTTTTTTAAATTTTGTTATCAATAGTATGAATCACAGTATATTCACAGTTTAAGTGTCACTGTTACCTTATAAACAATGAAGGTTATTTAGTTCTTATCAATTATTAACATACATTAACTGAAAAATTCTCGTAATTTTTTTTTCTGTGTTTATCTAATAGACATAAGTTTATGAAAATAAAAACAACTTTGCATAGTTTTAAGTTAGTTTTACAAATTTTATATAATTAATAGTTATATTAAAAAATAGCAAAATTTATCGTGAAAATAAGATTTGTCAATAAATTTGTATAGTCCTTTTAATTTTTGTCAGAGCATTTTTTTTAAAACTAACTATTGTGCTTTAAAATTTTTCTTCAATTTCAAGCTTTCTTCAAGTCACAATCACCATGGCATTGGAAAAAATCTATATGAAAGTGTGAACTAGATACCATATCTTGAATATTAATTCATTATTTTATTTAGCTACTGTACCCTTCCAAATTATTAGGGACACTTAAAATTTCTAAAAAATTTTCATTTTTCAAAGTGTCATAACTTTTTCAAAAATGAATCAATTTTCATAAAAATTTCAGGATATCATAATCAGGTCTTCTACTTTCATCTAAAAATTACTTATTTAATTTATCTTATTTTTTTGCAAAAAATTGCACATTTGAACAAAGCAATTTTTTATTTTTAAAAAATGTCAAATCTGACAAGTTGCTACTTTGTAAAAAAAAATTTTGCATAAAAATTTTTATATACACATTAAAGTACAAGTCATTAACTTTAAAACGGGCTAAAGTAAATGACTTTACGTTTTTTTTTTGACCGAGATATGAGATTTTGAAAATTTTTTGTAATTTATAGTGAAAGCAAAATTATTGTGAATTCGAAAATTATTTAGTATTTATAATTATTTTTTTGCAACTTTCTTATTCGGATTAATTAAGTTTTTTATTTAAAACATTATTACAAACAAGAATATTATTTATAAATTTGCAATAACAATTTTAAAAAACGACTCAAGAAATTTTTAGGAAATTTAACTTTATTTTGCCACCTATTTTTATGCAAAATTTAAACTTTTCGCAACTGTGATAAATATAAACTTATGCGAACCTTACGTAACAAATAAATAATTGATAGCTAACAAATTTTCAATAGAAAATAGTTAATAGGTTGATCTCTTTAAGCTGAAGAATAAATACTAAATAAATTTTCGAATTCACAATAATTTCATTTTCACTATAAATGACAAAAAATTTTCAAAATCTCATACCTCGGTCAAAAAAATCATAAAGTCATTTACTTTAGCGCGTTTTAAAGTTAATGACTTGTACTTTTATGTGTAAATAATAATTTTTATGCAAGAAATTTTGTTACAAAGTAGCTACTTGTCAGAATTTTTTTTTTAAAAATTGCTTTCTTCAAATGTGCAAATTTTTGAAAAAAATTGAGATAAATTAAATTAGTAATTTTTAGGTGAAAGTAGAAGACCTGAACATGATATCCTGAAATTTTTATGAAAATTGAATCATTTTTGAAAAAGTTATGACACTTTGAGAAATGACAATTTTTTAGAAATTTTAAGTGTCCCTAATATTTTGGAAGGGTACTGTATAAGGTAGTTTGATGACAATAATCGCCATATTAGCATATAGTGGTAGTATAAAACTCATCATGGATTTTCTTGGCCGCTACCAACACCTCTTATTTTATGACCGTAACAAAATGATCGTCTCCAGGAATTAATAAAAATCGTTTAAGTAAAAATTTGATTTATTAAGCAAGAATTTGTAACTTTAAAAATGGCCATATATAAAATACAAATCATAACTAAAAAAAGACTGCAGTAGCCACAAATTTTGAAATTGAAAGTAAATGTATTTGTTCCCAACGAACACAGGAGAAGCGTGGATAGGAGATCCAAAATTGGCGAATTATCAAAATATAACATAACCAAAACAAAGCCAACTCCGCATAATCAATATTGGGTTTGAAAATACTTTGCCAATCATGAGTCACCAACAAAACTATGGGAATTAAAATAACCCTGTAACTGAAACATATTTGAGTAAAGAAATTAATAATAAAGAGTTATAAATAGACTTTTGTTTTCAATTAGGAGCGGCAGTGAATTAATGAGTCTACATTAGAATTGAAATAAAAAGTTAGTCGTTACTATGATCGATATTAAAATAATAAAATATTTTATGTTCGCTTTAAAAGATTAACTCTTTGATTTAATTTAAGTATAATTTAATTAATAAAATAAGTTTAAGTAATTAACGATATTTTAAAAGGTAGGAAATATGTAATGCCAATTTTGGCATCACAGGTAGCATGAGATTTGATGGGAGGCTTTCTGTCGCATAAAAAATATTAATTCTAATTAATATTTCATGAAATGTAGACATTAATACTGGATAGTTATTTTTAACTCTGGGGTTGCCACTCAACAGGGAAAACCTGGAAAATGCATTGAATTTAAAAATCACCTAAGATAACAGGGAATTTTGAGTTTTTCTTTACAAACTGAGAAAATACAGGGAATTGTGTTTCTTATTTTCGTCTTTCAAACAATGGTGACCACTCAAAGCGCAATATGTGGGATATTGCGCTTTGAACTGAGAAAAACTGAGAAAATACAGGGAATTGTGTTTCTTATTTTCGTCTTTCAAACAATGGTGACCACTCAAAGCGCAATATGTGGGATATTTAAGGATGATATTTTAGCTATACTCCTGAATTTGTTAAATATGAGTACAATCAAATGAATAAAAACTCCTTTATCAAAATAATTTCTTGTCCAGGAAGAAAATATATACTAATGTTAATAGGCTATGTAGTTTGTCAAGATGAAATGTAACTTGTAGTCAAATCTTGGGTTCTAATTAAAGAAAAATGTATATGCTTAAGAAAATAATGCAATAATTGGTTAATCATAATTATTAACCTAAAAAACTATGAAGCCTAAACCAAAAAATAAACTGTGAAAAATAAAATTAATACATCTTAAATTACAAATATATAAATTAGAAATGTCTCTAAAAACTTAAAAAAGTTTTAAGAAAATGTATCTACTAATAAAAATTAGCATAGTTTGGAGAATAGAAAATGAGATAAAATTTTTGATTATACTAAATAATCTTTTAAAGAATGTTGTCATTTTAGCTAATTTTTTTCGCGACATTTAATTTTTGAAGTTATTTGTTAATTGTTGAAAAAATGTCTAATAAAAGAAATCTTACTTTTTCAGAGAATGCATTACAAAATTGTGTGAAATAGCTGGCTTAAAAACTCCTGATAAAAAAAGAAAAGTAAATAATGATTTTAAACCATTGTGTTTGACGTTTCATTCAATAACAATTACATTATTTAAAATTTTTATTATTTTATTTTTCATTTCAGATCGATAAAAGAATAGTAAAAATGCTTGCTGAAAAACCAAATATGGATCATGCTGGTGCTAATGTTAGTCTAACTATAACTAGTTCTTATTTGAATCTTGTATCTATGGAAACTGGAGATGTGAGTGCTCATTTTGTGTCAACATTTAGTTATTTCTGTAACACCATTCTTTAAGTTATTTGATTTTAGTACTAAAATATTGTATTTTATGCATATTATCTCTCTTTCCTCTTGTATTTTATGTATATTATCTCTCTTTCCTCTTGTATTTTATGCATATTATCTCTTTGTATATTATCTTGGAATATTTATTTTTCAAACTCTTTTATTTGCAGGTGATAGCCTATCATGAGATGCCAAAAATATCATTTGCCTCTGGCGGTGATGCTGTGAGTTTTGAATTTTTCTTTGTTCTTTAAATTTATCAGGGTTTTTGTGGGTTTAAAAAAACCTTGAATTCGATTTGATGATTTTTTAAAAATTTTTTTTAACAAGTAGCCAATAAAAGTCATAGTAAATGAGTCTAATATCCAATATTTCTTGTAAAAACCTACTGCAAGATGCTTAACTTTTCTTAGATTTAATAAAATTTTAATTTATACAAAATGATATTTATTTAACAATTTCTTGCTAAAAAAATTTCTTGATTATATTCAGATTTTCAGTCAAATGATACTATTCGAGGCTGGTAATAATTTATTTTTAAAATTAAGCTCTCCGTGTAAATTCATTTTTGTTCTTAATCAAAGGAAAATATATGTTGGCTATAATATCCATGTTGACAAATTATTTACATTGTTTTTAAATTTTTGCAGTTTTTATCTGAAATATTGTTTTTATTTTTAATTTGATTAACATGAAATCTACATCTTAAAATTATACCCTCTAATGTATTTCTATTAAAGCTCAATGATTGACATATTTTCTATTAAAAAGTAAGCGTTGTTACTTTTTAATAAAAGCTTTATATTTCTTATTAAATATTGTAATGTATAGCAAAAATATGTTCTTAAATTTTGTAGGAATTTTCAGGGCTCGAAAAACAGCCCGTCCTTGACGGTCAGAAATTCTCCGCGGACAACGAATTTCTCGAATCCGACGTCCGCGCGGACGGCCATTTTCCCGTTAATGTTCGTGATACATTTTCAATTTTTGTTATCTTACAAAGAGTCTTGTAAGTTACAAGGCAGCAAAATGACCCACAACACAGCAACATACTGCGCATATATTGATGTTTTCTCTGTCTGGGAGTATTGCAGCGGTTGAAAGGGGCTTTACAGCAATAAACTTACAAAAAAACACAATACGTACTGGTCTTAAACAAGAAGCTTTAAAAGCAATTATGAACATCTACCTAAATGGAAAACCCCTTTCAGATTTCTGTTCAGAAACCTCTGTAAATCATTGGCTTGATTGTGGAACTGGCAAACGTCATATTTGATTCATTTAAAAAACGCAGTACCCTCGGATAACTTGACATTCCAGATAACTTGACCCTTGTCATTTAAATTATTTCATAAAAGAAATACTAGGTTACTATTAGTAACCTAGTATTTCTTTTATTACTGTATAATGTAATCCTAGTAACGACTAATTCATTGTGCAATTTATATAAATGTTTGTAATAAATAGGAGAAAATTTTATTTTTATTTATTTCAAAGCGACGGGTTAGTTTCAACGGAGGACGGGTGCATTGTTGGACAAGCCGTNGTTTGTAATAAATAGGAGAAAATTATATTTTTATTTATTTCGAAGCGACGGGTTAGTTTTAACGGAGGACGGGTAAAATTTCTGAGTTTTTTCGAGCCCTGGGAATTTTCCTGTAAAACCTGAAAGAGTCAGAAAATTTTATTTCTGAAAATTAAACCTTGATTGCTTATTCTGCTTGTTTATTTGTTTGATTTTTTAATTCATATAAACCTTTAAAATTAAATCAACTAAGTATAAATTATATTTTCATGTTTTTTTTATGTATTTTTTTTTTTTTTTTTACTTTTATGTAATAATACAGCACATTAATCCCTTAATCTCTCCTTTATTTATTATTCTGAGCAAAATTAAAAGAAATTTTTTAATTGTAGGTTTTTTCCCCCCTCCATTGTGCTCAAAAAAATGAGCTTCCCCCCCCCTCCATATTTATTAAATTTTCTGGTTAATTTCAAAAGAAAAAATATTCAAACTTGTTTTGTTGATTAAAAAGTTCACTGCCTTTAATTTCCTAAGTATTCCACATCAGTCACTAGCTTTAGTAAAAATAAATGGCTATTATGAATAAGGCATTTATTATAATATTAGGAAACACTTTCTGCTACTCAAAATATCAAATATTTTGAGATTTTTTCTATTTTACAATAGTTGAAATTTCTGTCGAATGCTCCAATAGATTCTTATACAGGGTTGTCTTTCTGCCGACAGAAACTGGTTATGACCAGTAAAAACTGGCAGAAACTAAAAAAACTTCTATATTAGTTCTAGTAATTGCTTAATGACATTTTGTTTACATACAGATTTAAACAGGCAGTTACTGATTATCATTTGCTAGCATTTATGCTGCATCCAAAGTATTTGGGATTGTAATTATCATGTGCTAAAGAAGAAAGTGCCAGAATTTTACTCGGGAATATTAACCCAGATTTTGTACCTTATGTCATAGCTTTGCAAAACAAATCGCCCCATTTCCTGAAACTTATTTTTCCAGTCAAGTTTTGACCACTACCCCAGCTGCTACATGGTGGTCTAGTTTTAAAAAAATATGCAATAGATGAAATTTTCACAAATCTTGCTTGTTCCTTGATGGCAATGCCTGCTAGTTCTGAGAGGATTTTCTCAAATTTCTCGTTCGTTCCATAGCAAATTGAGAAATTGTTTAGGTTTAGAAACTACATCAAAACTTATCTTTCATTATAGATTACTGCAGAGTGCAAACAATGTAATATTTGATTTTGAATGCTGATAATTTTGTAAATAAATTGTACTTTGTTTAACATTTAATTGTTTTTCCTATGAATTATCCATTGTATGTCAGTCTCTGTACTTACTTTTATGTTATTTTCTGAATTTTTGCCAGTTTCTGCCATGCTGGTTTTAACCGGTTTCTACCAGCGGTTTTAACCACCTCGGCAGAAATTTGCCAACCTTGTTCTTATATTATAAAATCCACTATAAATACACCAGTGATAGTAAGGTTTAGATTTGTAACATTAAGACTTGACAATTCAAGTAAATCTCATAAAAATAAATAATAAAATAATAATAAAATTGCATAATTAATAAGTTTTAAATAATAAAATGATTTGTTACTCAGTATTACATATTCAATTATTTGATATTTTTTTTGTAGGATACAATGGATTTTGTTTCTTATGTTGCCAAAGACCAACGCTATGGTCGTGCATGTTTTGTTCTTGAATGCGGTGGTGGACTTGCCCAAGATGTCATTACTACTATAGGACAAGCATTTGAACTGCGCTATAAACAATTTTTAAAGAAAACTCCTGCCACCAGGAATGAAACTGAATTGTAAGAATTCTCTTCATATGCATGTTTAAAGACATCATGAATTTATTTAAGTGTTTATTTTAAAGATTTTATTTATTGTTTTAAATTCAGTAGTAATCTAAATGCATAAATCTAATATTACTCCATTTCATGGGGCCATAGAATAATTGCCAAATTGTGGTAAAATGCCACTGGTATTGTAATAGGTAACTATTTAACTAATATATGTACTGTAGTAATAAGTTTGGTAATAACTCCTTTGCCAGAGTATTGCCTAAATTCTTAAATAATTATTTAAGAAATTTTTCAATCTGCAGCAGTTAAATCCTGATTATCCACAAATGAATTATCTATCTACTTTTAGGGCAAACTCTGATGTGTATCAAATACTAATAGTATATTGTTCATAAAAGATAATGCCCCATGGTAATTTATCTGCTAGAAATTTTGAGCCATGTTTTGTCTGCAGGATATTCTGTACACAGGGTTTGTAAACACCGGGAATATCAGGAAAACTGGGAATTGTCAGGGAAAATAAGAGCAAAAAAAAAATCAGGGAGAAACATAATTTTAACCCAAAACCGGGAATCGTTAGAAAATTTGACACCCTATCAAATTGCTGGATTTCATTGTTCCATTTTCTACTGCAATTCACACTTTGCAATGAAGGATTTAAAAAATTCCGTTTTTCCCGAATTGGCCATTATTAACAAATTGCTGATGTAAAATATTCTCAGTGGTAGAGGGATCAAGGGTTAGAGTACCCTTGCCGTCCGTCTAACGTGCGAGGTTTTCGTGGTTTTGGTTTTATTTGATAAATGAGTTTTCTTTATAGTATATATATTTTTCCATATATTTAGGTATGAAATATATTGCATTTTTTAATCATTAATTTTGTTTTATTTTAATTAATTTGGTGATTTTAATAAATCTTTAGTTAACTATAATTTGGCTCAATTTCAATTAAATGAATAACATCAATGAACCTATATATTTTCGCTAGTTTTTTTATGTGTTCGTTAGGTATTTATCATTAAAATAATTTTTCTTAAATATATATTTTTTAATTTTGTGGGTTTTACCATCATAATTTGTACTTTCTATCAATTTATCCATTCTTTTTATGATTCATTTTTTTCTTTGTGCCAATAGAAAATCTATTGACACACTGCATTTTTATTGGGTTTTTTTTTTTCGCTTTTGTTCTCTATACTTAAAAATGTTCATCAGTTGATTAAATATTATTAAACTTCAATTAAATACAGAATATTTGTATAGTATTTTTATTAATTCTGTTCTTTTTATTATTTTTTTGGAATTACTTAGATGTTGAAAAATTGTTCTTTTATTTTATTGATTTAATAATTTCTAATTTTATTTTTGTTTTCTTGAAGCTTTGTTTCATATTTTAGGATGATTAATTTATTTTATAGCAAAAGAATATAAATATTACATTTTTGTTCTTGATTTATTTATTTTTATTTGTTTGTTGATAAAAGCTTTATTCTTTAGTTATTGACTTAATGAGTGTGGATTAATTTTAATTAGATATGGTTTGTTAATTTTTTAAGGATGATTTGATAATTGGTGTTCAAAAATTTTTCTTTTCAATAATCTTTTTAAATTAGTATCGCTCAATTAAGTTCTGCAATTTTATTGGTGTTTATCTTTCTCATAATTAATTTTTAATCTATGTTAATATATTGGGTTTTAATTGTTTATTATGTTTTTCTGTTAAAAATGTTCTTATATTTATTAAACATCAATTGTACGCAGATTTATATATTTTTATTATATTTTTTCAACCAGTAAACTGGGAATAAACATATTTATAAAGTTTTAGAGATAAATAGTTTTTACTTGTTTTATTCTTTTAAATTTTATTAATAATATCATTGAACTACTTTTATATTCCAAAATCAATGAATTGAATATTTTTAACAATTTTCAGACATCAAGCTTCTCATCTAAATGGAAATTTGATAGCACCGAGGGAAGATCCTGAATATTATAATGATCTTCCTGGTAAAGTTCCTCCGGATGTAATAGCCAATGCTGCATTTTTGGATAATGAATCTGTCAAAAGTGGTAGTGAGGTAATAAAATATTAGCTGTTTTTCTTAATAATTTGCAATCTTCTATGCCATTGTCATTCCTTTTTTCTTCTTCTTCTTTTTTTTTTTTTTTTTTTTTTTTTTTTGGACAAGTGTAGTTTATGACTCTGTTTAATGTCTTTACTTTTTAGTATGTAATGTTCTATTTGTGCTCAGTGCCCAATAATAATCTTTCGTCGTTAAAGTTTACATTCAATCTTTAAATGCATAACTTTATAAGTATGCATAATTTTAATTTTATTTATATCAAATAAAATTAATTGTCAGTTATAAATTTTAATAAAAATTTTCTGACAAGATGTATATATTTATTTATGTCTTTTTTATCATTGCTTAAAAGTTAAAGTTGTAGAATCGAAGGAAAAAATATTAAGCACTTGGTATCTAGTTCTCAGAATTTCTTTATAATGCAAACAATAAGGTTGTATACATGATTTCAATCTTGTTTTATATTCCAAATTAAATATTCTTTGAACAAACTTGTTCTCCAGAATATAAATACCCAAATTGTAAGAAACATACTCTTCAGAAATATTAACATATTTATTACACTTCTTAAAATGTAAACCATAATAATAAGAAAAAGCTATATGTTTTAAAAGAAACATATCTTCTATTATTAATAAATCACAAAATTCCAAATTAAATTATATTCCAAATTAAATGTTCTTTGTACAAACTTGTTCACCTGAATATAAATACACAATCAAATTGTTAGAAACATACTCTTCATAAATGTTAAAATATTTAATAGACTTCTTAAAATGTAAATCATAATAATAAGAAAAAGCTATATGTTTTAAAATAAGCATGTCTTCTATTATTAATAAATCACGAAACTGTGTAAATAAAAGGTATTTAGTGAAACTATCTATCATTAGAGAAAGAAAAATCAAAGAAGTGCTAGTTGACAGGAAGTAGTAGTGGATAGTTTTTCCAAGCAATGATCAATGAGATAGAATTAAATTTTTTTTATTAATAGTAACAATATTATCTTTATTTATTAAAATAATCTGGTTCTATTTTGAAAATATGTTTTAAATTCAATTTTATTATAAATAATTTTAGCATACAGGAAAAGGTGAATACCTACCAACTCTTTTGATTTTGGTGAAAGATTTCTGACTTTTGGACAAAATTTTGATTGTTACTTTAGGTACGAGGAAATAATTTGTAAAAAAAAAATTAATAAAAGGGTAATAAAAAAACTGCCAAAATTTGATTATAAAAGAAAACAAAATAGCCAGTAACTCCTTCCTCTCGTATCTTCATTCTCTTTTTACTTCTTATAGAGAATAAAGTGAGTCAATGAGTTCTGTGAGTTACTGCGCAAAAACTAAGAATGCCACTTGTTTCTACTGGAACCAGATCATACAACTTTTGTATCCATGGAAACAAGTGTAAAAGAAAGAAATGCATAGTATTTACTCACATAGACAGAATGGGTGTTTGTAAAAAGATTGTATAAGGTGTCAAACAAATTCAACTCGTAACTTGAAATTTCAATACATTTCTACTTCTGCTTATATTTTGTGAATATAATACTTGCAAACAGCGACTGTGTGGAAGCTTGAATCGCATCAGCATTAAGCTATGTCACTGTAATACAGTTTTATCATATGGTTATAAATATAAAAATATAATTGTGTTTTGCACTCAAAATTAGTGGTGGCTTGAAGAAAAATATTCTTAATTGTTTCAGAAAAATTATATTACAGATTTTGTTTTTGTTACGAAAACAATTTTTTGATCTAGTCATGGATATTGCATTTGTTTGAGGAGTGAATTTTTGCCCAACTCATGATGGGAAAAATGGCTAAAAACATTTATATAAAAAAGACTAAAAAATTTATGCACCATAAACAAGCAAAATTGGTGCAATCAAATTACTCCTTGAAAATATCTAATTAAAAAGAGACACAAACGAATTCTAAATGAACAATTTTAATAAATATTTTTATATATTTGAATATTTAAATACTTTAATTTTGATGTTATTTAAAATATTTGAGTTCTTGCTTTTGCTTTAGTTATAGAAATGTATTCAAATATTATTATTTAAAGCTTATTATATTAACTATGAATTATTGCTAAGCGTTCTTTATAAAGAAAAAGCTAAATTTCTAAATTTTTCTTTCATTCAGAAAAACTTAATTCATTGGAGGGAATTTCTACTTTATAAATATTGCTTTTTTATTATTAAAGTTCTAAAAAAAAGGTAAAGGTTATTGAAGGTATTTCAAGTATTAAAATTTGTCCTGCACAAAATCTTCCTATTTGTGAACTTTAATCTCCCTAAATCCCTACTTTCGGAGGTTGGCAGGTGTGATTTTAATTCTCATGGATGTATAGCTTGTGGAATATTTTTATAAAATCCAATGTATGTATATAATTTACACCTATTTCTTTCTTTATAAAGGCTTAGAAATTATTATATTTTTATTTAGCCTAGCCCAACAAGAAAAGAAGCGAATGCAAATTTTCAACCATACCCTGTTCCATATGCTACCACGCCTATACAAAAAGAATTTCCTGATAGTCTAATTGATCTTACAACCAATACAAATTATGTTTCAGTTTATAGGCGCCCTGGACCAGGTTTGTTTGTATTCTAATAACTAATTACAATTTAACTTTAAAAATATTTTTAAATGATTTATATTGTTTGTTCATTTTAGAATATGTTAACACTACAGCTGTTATTTCAAATGAAAGAGGCACTGATGTTAGCACTAAGACTAAGGCTGTAAATCACGATATTTTTGACATGCGTAAGTTTTGTTTTAATATTGAGAAAATTTATTTTTATAAAATTTATTCTTTATTTCAATTCTTTTTTCTACTTATTTAATTGATATAGATATATATATATATATACTAGAGATGAAACGGGCTCAGGCAGAGACCAAGTATGAACCCTACGTGGGCTCATTTACTGAAAATAAGTTTCTAGTTCAGACAAACTCAGATTCATTATAAAAATCTTCATAAACATTTTTACTACTTTTTAACAAACTTTTTATTCTTTATTTGAATTCTTTTTTCTACTCATTTTATCGATATTTATAGATTAGAGATGAAACATGCACAGTTGGGGACCTTGTCTGGTCCCTACGCGGCTTGTTTTCTGAAAATAAGTTTTGAGTTCGGACGGGCTCAGATTCATGATAAAATTTTCATGAACATTTTTGCTACTTTTAAACAAACTTTTGGCTCAATTATTGAGTTTAAAAGTTTTTAAACTTATGAGGTATAAAAATTAAAACTTTTTAAATAATGTTTATGTCTCACTTTGTTTATAAATATTTATTAGAAATGACATTTTAATGCAAACAATAAATTCCTTGCCATAAATAAAACTAACAAAAAGAAATGGTTAAAATTCAATTCTTTGAGAAAAACTTACTATAAAAAAATGCCTAAAAGAAGAAGAAAAAGATTTTCTTTTTTTAATTTTTTCCCATTATATTTATGTTATTGATATTCAGGGCCATTCAGGAGTCAAGTCAGTTTCCTGTGCCACTTTTGATCTATGACACATAGGCTCTGAATACCTGATCTAAATAAAAGAATTAAATAAACTGCCCTTTTTTTGTTGAAAACATTTAAGATATCCATATTATTTTCTACATTGCTGATATCAGTGAGTGGAAAAAGTGCAAGAAGTGGAACAAGCAGTAAAACTAGTGAAGACATTACTTTTTTCATAGTTTGTAGTGTTGTGTGCTACTTTTTAAAAAAAAATAGTGTAGTGTAGTGAGTAATGCAATATAAAAGAACAGTAGTGCATTACGATTCCTGGAAACTACTTTTAATGTTAGTTTAGTAACGAAACAAGGTTCTAACTCAACTACTCTGTCAATGGACACAATGAAAATGCCTTTGTTGCTGTGGCTGAGCGCTGACAGAATTGCGCATTTAGAATCGCATATAACTACAGTAGAGAACCATTTATCCGGTATCCAGATAACCGGGAAGAATTTTGCTTGGTTTTCCCGCTATTTTAAAGTATTTATAAGGATTATTAAAAAAAAGCAGAAATTAGACTCATCCTTAAAGTTGAGTAGAGGGAAAGGGGGAAATTCTTCTCTTCACTTGCCCAGAGGAACTTCAATTCTTCCCCTGATTTTGAAGATCATTAGATCCAGAGGGGGCAGGGAAGGGACAAATGTTTTATTTTCTCCTGTGTTTATTTTCTTTTTCTGATAAGCTGCCATCAATCAAACTTAAAGGAGTGGCAAGCTGATTTCATTTTCTCTTTGATTTACCAGGGGGTGGGGAAAATGCATTGCACAAGTGCACATAGCAATGAATGTTTGAGTTAAGGATCTGGCTAAGAGTATTGATTTTAAAGGTGAAATGTGAGATTTGTTTTAAATTATCCACTTCAGTTACTCAGTTTTGTTATTTATTATGGTGAATTGTTTTATTATTTCGAATAATGCATTATTTAATCACCAGTTATATTTATCTTTTTGACATCAATTAACAAAACAATATTTTTTTGTTGAATAAATTCTGATTTCTTAGAAATGCGATATCATTAGCAAGTTTTTCTTGATGTGCAATCACATCTGCTTTCATTAAAAATAGTCTTTTTTAAAAAAAAAAAAAAAGATTGTTTATTAATTTAAGCATATAATTATTTGTTAATAAAAGCAGGTGATTATTTTATAAAGATGATATTAGTTTATTTTATTTATTTATCTTTTTTTAATTTTGATTCTGTTTTTCTGATTCCACTGCTTTTTTTTTCTTTTAGGATAAATTTTGTACTCAATAAATTAATTATTTTTATTCATAAATTTTATCATTAAGTTTTTTTTTTTAAATTCTGTTTATCTTATAATATCCTTCAAGGTTTTAATACTTATGTTAGTGCCTTTTTTAAATATTGCTTCAGTTCCATAATTTTCAAGTGTTGTTTTTATTTAGATTAATAAGTTTTCTTTTCATCCTCCCCCCCCCAGTATAATTAGGTATGAAATATATTGCGTTTTTTAATTATTGGTTTTATATTAGTTAATTTGGGGATTTTGATTAGTATCAAAAAATAAATATGCAAATTTTGTATTTTTTAAACTTGTTTTTCTTGTCTAAATTTGCAAATGTTTTTATCCTTTTAAATCTTATTTTTCTACCATTTTTTTTAATTTAGGAGATCTTATTATTTTTTTACTATTTTTAAATATGTTTAACTTTTTCCTTGTAATTTGGGTTTGATAAAACATCGGTTAACGACACTTTTGGCCGATCCAGAAAACCGGGAAATTCAGACATCCGGGATAGCGATGGTTCCGAGCATCCCGGTTAATTGGTTCTCTACTGTATTATTTAAGTTAGCAGGGGTGATTGTGCTCTGGAAAAAATCCGGATTTCCGGAATTTTCGCTAACAGTGATCCGGAAGTTTAAAAATATCATGGGTCACAGAAGTTTCCGGAAATCAAATTTTCAAAGGTGGAACTTAAAAACACAGTTTATTTTATTTGTTTGTAAGGGAGAGCCAGAGAGATACTTTATAAGCTTATATTCATGATTAATATTCATTTTTTATCAGTATACAGTTGTTATAATCATAAACTCAAGAAAGAAAGACATATTTGTAAATTTTAATTACTTCTCCAGGTCATATCTAAGATATGTGTAAATGGTATAGGTATTTGTAAAATTTTAAATATATTTTAAGTAAACTAAGAAATATTGAGAAAAAGGAAGAAAAAAAAGCCTTGTTTAAATTTTTTAAACTCAATTTTCCGGAATTTTGACTTGGGCTCACAATCAGCCCCGAGTCAGCTATTACAAATAATAAATGATTTTTCTCTTTGGTCACACTTTTGCATGTGAATGTACCCTTGTGAAACTTTGATGTTATTTCAAAGGAAGGGAATATATTTCTGATGTGCTTAATTTCTTTTATCTTAAACGAGTATTAAACTGTTAACAAAATTGCAAGTAATTGTTATTTCTTAGTATTTCTTAATTTAAATATTCACTGCCGAGAAAGGCATAAAAAGTTGAAGGTTAAATTAATAAATTTAAAGAAAATATTTCAGAATAACAAAATGACTCATGTAAACATAAATAAATATTTCTTGATAATTTCTCATATTTAACTAAGCAAATTTTTTATTCAAAACCATTTTGAACATAGGTGTAAATTAATTTCTCCAGCATAGTTAGTCTCCTTAAAGTAGTGAAATAATAACTACATTTCAAAAGTAGTTGTAGCAAACTACAAAAATAATGTAGTCATTGCGATTACTGGCTAATATAATTTTATACTATTTCAGAACCTTTTAGTGCTAGCTTAAGTGCTATTCAAAATGAGCCACCATCCATTGATTCATTACTGGGATTGTCTACTTCTGAAGCAGCAGCAATTGCTAGTCCTCTTCCATTAAATAAGCCACTTGCTAAAATAGATGCTGAGAAGACTCTATTACTCGAAGAGCCCTGGTTTCACGGTCCAATTAGCAGGCAAGAAAGTGAAGCTCTTGTCGTGAAAGATGGTGACTTTTTGGTTCGAGAATCTCAAACCACCCCTGGTCAGTATGTGTTAACAGGAATGCAAAAACTACAAAGAAAGCATTTATTACTTGTTGATCCAGAAGGAGTAGTAAGTATTATTTCTTTAAATGAAAAAAAATCTCTAACATTGATAGTTTTGGCTAGTTAAGAACTCTGAATAAATTGTAACTATTTTTATTTATTTAACAGTAATTTTATGTACTACATACTAATAAGTTGTAAATATTACGTTGAGTAAAAAGTTTCCTGCCAAAAAAAAAAACTTTTAAAATGTTTTGTAAATAAAATGCAAATGTCAAGCTCTAACGCAATAGGTCATGTTGTAACATTTTTGTCTTGATCAATGATTTGTTTTAACTGGTCACCATCAAACACCTCAATAGGGTGGCCAGAACGTGGTTATCTAAAAACACGTTAGGAGAAAGGTTAACTACCATGGGAATAGCTGCTCTTGGCTCGGAGGTATCTCCCTTTGGCCGAAAACATTTTACTCCACCTGATAGAATTCTACTATTTACTATTTATAATAAAGGATAACACAATGTGTATTTTTCAATTGTTTTGCATTGAATCAGGAGATAATAATGAGGCAATGGATAAAGTAGAAATTGGGTGTGGTAATAGCAGGAGTTTAAGAATCAATTCTACTTCTTGTTAGTCATATGTTTTTGTTTTTCTTCTACACATGTAAAATCTGCTCTTTATTTTATCAACTTATAACTTTAGTAATGGGTAGAGATAAAATTCAGATTCTTCCCACTGAAGGAAAAAAAAAAATCAAAAATTATTTGCAAGAAGGGTGAGGCTTTATTATAATGTTTTATTGTTTGGTGAAGTTTTGCTTTTCTCTCTTATATTGTATGGGATAATGTATTTAATGCTGCAAGTGTTGTATGCGTAACAATTTCCTAGCGCTCCGATTTATAAGAGAATTGCCCTAGTTACTTCGTAATTGTTTCATTTTACGTAACATGAAATAAGATTTCTCTCATAAGTGCTCGATAAAAATTTTAATTTGAAGTTGCACAGCTCAATGTTAAAATACAAAAATAAAGATTTTTCTATTTCCATGGAAGCTATTGGCAATAAAAAGATTACTAAATTGACAATTTTGATGAAAAGGCTGCTATGGCAACTAATTTTGTTAAAATATAGCCAAAAATGACTATGTGAAAAATCGGCAACTTTTTTTACTCAATTTTACATGATTACATGTAAAATTTAATTCATCAAGTAAGACATATTAAATCATTTTTTAGTTTTACCATATTTTTATTGTAGTTTCATTTTATGCAGTTTTGACTGACAGTTTATCCACATAACTATCATACTTAATTTAAGAAAATTCTTAGATCTAAAGCATGCCACAATCAATTTTTAACTATGCTGCTATTTTATTATTTCTATAAATTCCTAGTTTTTTTTTTTTTTTGAAGTTAGATATTTTATAAAATGTAAATGTCTAAATAAGTGCATTATATTTTATATCATTAAGTATAGATATTGTAAGAATATGTATGAGATTGGAAACTATTTTATGCCTCTAGTAACTAATTCTCATATCTGAAGCAACTATTTTTTGGAGTCCTACTCCAGTGACAGCCCTGCATTTCTTGTTTTTTTTCAAATCATCTGGTAAGATTTGATTTAGAAATTATAAACTTGAATTGGCCCAATCTATTTTATCCAAAATATATTTTTAACATATAGGTAATATGACTAGATTTTAAACTTCAAAAGATGAAAAATTTATTAAGATATTTTATAGGTTATAAATTGTAATATGAAAAAGTCAGTTATCAAATTACTATAATTTTTTTTTTTGAGCTTGAATGTACCAATCTATAAATGGAAAGTTTAAAAAGCCAATATTTGGAAAGGCACAATCTTTTTAAAAAATCATTTTTATGAAGGAGCCCACTTTGTTAGCAATATTTTTGTGACAATGCAAATAAATGATAGTAAAATAAACTTATGTAGTTACTTGTTTGTAAGTAACAAGCTTGTTTTTATAAAAATTCATATTTAAGAAGAAAAAACTGTTAGTAAAAGTTTGTATGTATGTATTAATATTTTAATTTTATAATCTATTGGTATACATATCTGGGTGTCCTAAAAATGACAGACAATTTTAAAAATCTACTGAAGAAAAATGAAACAGAAAAATATGGAAATGTACTACAGTTTGATGTATTATACAGGAAACTAGATAATTTATTGTCAATTTTAAATTTATCAATTTTAAAAATTAATTACAAATTTTATCAACAGATAGTTTTTTATTAGAAGAGCAAGCTGTATGTTTTCTGTTGCATGTCAGACTGTTCGAACTGAAATGTACACACAGGCTTAAATTTATTTTCAGACTACACCACATTAATTAGAAGGAGAAAAAAAACGGTGGTTACTTATTAAACATTTTATTGTTTTTTTCAAATTAGTACCATCTGTTGACAAACTTTGTTAATAATTTTTGAATGTTGTAAGAAAAATAACTAGATTACTAAATTATTGGTCAATTTTTGGGAAACCAGGTATTCAAATACATTAGTCATTTTAACAATTGTACTCTGTTTTCAGATAAGGACTAAAGACCATATATTTGATAGTATTAGTCACCTAATAAAGCACCATAGAGACAATTGCTTGCCAATCATATCCGCAGAAAGTGCCTTACTTTTAAGAACACCTGTGTGCAGACAGCGACCAATATCTAAAGCAGTCCATGTATAGTTTTTTTTTGTGTACAGATTTTATTTTATCACATTTTACAATTGAGAGATTTGAGATCAATCTAAATTTTGCATTTGATCAGATCACATATTTTTCAACTTTAGATATTTAACTTAATCCCATTTAATGGTTACTTTTTTTAAAAAACCAGTTTGGGTTATTTGAAACAAGGTATTTTTAAATTTCACATCGTATTTTTTTAAGCAACCCTTCGAAGCCAAATTTTAAACATAACTGAAAAATTACATATTTCGTATAAATAAAAAAAAAAATGGTTTTATAAAATTATTAAGTCAAAAAGCCTATTTACAAGTTTGTGAATTGTTAACTTCAAAACATAGTTTATTATTTAATAGATTAAATCTAAAAGTTTAATTTTATGTGTAAATGCTGTAATTATTTGTTAGCTTTTAAGATTCTTAAATGATATTTGCCTTATCCTTGATTTCCTATACATATTTTTTAATGTCCTGTATAAAAATATAATTTTTTCATTTAAAAATAAGAAACTTATTTGTAAATTGTTTTTAAAAAATCTAGTTGTTCCCTTAAACTTTCCTTTTTCTTTTTAAAGTAACAAATGAATTTACTAAACTCTTAGTTAGGATTTATTTATTGCACATGTACATATTTGTTTGAATCTGAGAACTTCTTTTAAATTTGGTATAGTTTTTTTAAAATGTCTTCCAAGATTCCTTATTAGTCACTTTTTTGTTCACTGGGATACTTGCTTTTTTACACTTTTTTTTTTACATGAATAGTTTGAACGTGATTTGTTAAGGTCTTTGTTATTTTAAGCATTGTTTGTATAGCAGTTAATATCATTGTAATTTTTGTAAAATAAATATTTTAAATTGTTAATCTTTTGTTGTGTGATTCAGCTTAAAAAGATTTTTTTTAACAAACGTTATCAGTAATTAGAGAACATTATCAGTAGATTGATACTATATTAAATGGTAATCAATGTAGCGTATTGTTAAAAAAATATATGTATCTCCCATGGGAAACATAGCTCTGTCTTAAATGTGTGGTTGGATGATAATGTTGCCACATCACTGGTAAACTATCAGTCATAGGTTCGTACATGAGAGCAGAAAAATTTTAACATGAAATAGGGAATAAAAGGATTTAAGGAAAAACATATCATTACATGCTCAAGGTAACAATATTTTAAGCTTGTTTTTTAAATACTTGTAATGACCAGCGATATAAGGTAAATAAACTAATTTAGAATGACAGGATACTACAGATATCTTTGTCAATTTAATATTTTAGGAGTTAAATAATTTAACCCTTAAAATTATCCAAATGCTACTTTTTTGTTCTCTGGGATACTTGACTGGATAACTACATTACTATCATATGAATTCCAGACTTACTAAATTTAACTGAATAAAAAAATAATAAATATATCTGATAAAGATTGGCTTTTGAAATAACTTATTATTCAGTGGTTAAAAATGCATTGCCATTTCATGATGTTAATACATATAAGTGTTTTGTTTTCTAAAAAAACAATCACATCAGAGTATTGCAGTGATACTTATAAATTTTTAAAAAAAATTTGTAATAGGAATTATAACTACCATATATTTCTGTGCATAAGTCAATTTTTTACACTACCAAAAGCTTATAAAAATCGGGATTGATTTGTACACCGATAATAAAGCTGTATATTCGTTGATGATCCTGAAATATCGATGCATTATAAACAATGAGATAAATAAGAATAACTCTATATCAATTTACACCCCTTTCAAAAAATACTTTCAATGCTATATACAAGAAATTTTGAGATTTCTCTTATTGTGTTTCCTTTAGAAACAGTACTTTAAATTTTATTAAGAAAATGAAAAGTAATAATTTATTTATTCAAGAAATGTATTTAAAAATATGAAATCTTTCATGCTTTTTCAGCATCAACTTATACACATAACATACCAGAAATTCGCTATCTCGTAATAAAAAATATTGGGTCTACTTATACATCGAGATATAATGTAATCAGTTTTGCAAATAGAGCTTTCAATAGGTGTACAGATATGTCAAATGGGTTAAATATTTTCAAGCGGTAGTCTTTCAATGTATGATCCTTAATTTAGTAAATTCAATTCATTGAGTTTTTACTAAGTACTTCTAAATAATTTAAGAGCTTATATGATACACCACTTCTTTATAGCAAAGCCATGTTCAGCCTTAAAATTAACCAAAACTTCTGCAAATTTTAGTTTGTAGTAGATTTTTAAAATATTTCGTTGAACCCGTAGCTATTGGCATCTCTGGGTGTATTTCTATAAGTTAGTTTGGGATATTAAATTGACCTATTTCTTTGAACCTATTGATTACCATAACTTATTTATTTTAACTGCACTTTAATCCATCAGATCATATTTCAGGATTTAGAATGAAAATTAATAGCGTACATGCAAAGCAAATCCTATGAAACAGTTTTTCAACAAAAACACATTTTGATCTCTTATTTAATATTAAAGGACTTTTACTCAGGCAGGGTTCCCACTCAATTTCAAAAAAAAAAACATTCCCCGACTTTTCCAGGTATACCAGATAAATTTCAACGAAAATTGAGACCATATTTTCATCAGAAAACTTTGATTCTTTTATTTGTAATGTGAAATATTAAATTTACTAAAAGATACCGTTTAACTAAAATGTAAAATTTTTGCGACAATTGTAATAGATGTTAGACTTATTTAATTCGAACCTCAATAACTAATAACTATTATTGACAATTTTAAGACTGGTTATTTTCCAGGTTTGATATAGGAATATTCCAGGTTTTTGTAAAAAAATTGCAACTTCCCCTGATTTTTGGAGTTAAAAATAAAATTCCCTGACAATTCCAGGTTTTTCCTGTTCTCCCTGACCCATGTGAACTCTGTCAGGACTATAAGCATTTCATTTGTCATTTTTTTACTCCTAATTTTTATATTTCACGGTGATAAAAAATCTGAAGTACATGGATATGAATCTATGCATAAAATTCATTAGTCAAGCCATTTTTAGAAAATTCTTTTTAACAGGAGTCACAGGTACATGATTTAATGTATATAAATATGGTATATTTAATTTGAATTTATGACAACGTAAGTGGTATATGTACAGATGTCCAAAAAAATAGAAATTAAGTTTTTGAAAACACCTATATGTGTATAGAAAAGTTTCATAGAATATAAAGAACAGTTATTAAACAGAATACTTTTAATACCTTTTTACAAAAATTAAAATACTACAACTTTAGGCTTTGCCATTTTAACTTTTGGAGTCGCTTGTTCTGTGTCCACAACTTCATCATCAATGCTTGTACCTTTATCAATTGTGTTGAGTGTTACAGAAGAGCCTTTCTCTGAAATTGACAAACAAATTAATTGCATAATCATAAAATAATTTCTGATGTTTTGATTAATTACAATATCTTTAGCTACATTTATAAAAATCAAATATACAATTTTTGAACCATAAAAACAAATTAATAATACCTAAATGGCTATATACAGTCGGACCTCTATTTAACGAAGTCACTAAATCCTGATAAAAAGTTCCTTGTATAGAAAATTCGTTAAATAGAAAATCGCCATTTGAAATACTTAAACAACACAAAACAAATTTTAAATTTATAAACACTATACATAATTAAAATAGTAATTGATACACCTTTATCTTGTTAATTATTATCTACTATCAAATTGCTTCAAATGATTTTCATATCTCATGTGCTGGATCTTAGTACAGATGATGCTTGTTTATACGAGTGTGTTGCTTACCTGGTAAGTTGTTTTTCCAGGATAGCATACCACACCGATAAATTTCCCTTGTTAGTTACGTATTAGAAGAGCTAGATTTGTCCTTTCTATATTCTCCAAGTATGATAATATCCTTACTAACTTTTATTCAACTCAAATATATAATTTCCAAACCATAAAAGCAATTAAAATAAAAATACCTAAATGACTAGACATTTACTTAAAATTTTAAAATAAAATTAATACTGAATGCAAACTCTTGTTTTTCTTTTGAGACTCATAACTATAGTCAGAAAGATGAAAATAGATAAAAACTTACTTTTACTGTTCAATGTTGGACAATCTTTTCTTAGATGTTTGATACTATCACACAAACTACATTTTCCGCCTAAAAAGAGTAAATCAAAATTATTCAGTGAAGAGAAATTAATACTCTTTAAGAAATAATTCTCCCATTCCAACCCAGTTTATACAGTAAAAAAGTTAGGGCAATTAAATTAAAAAATTAGTTCAAAACAATGCTCATCCACATAAAGTTGAACTATTAATTAGTAATTTAACTGAATAAGTAATTATTAATACAATTGATGTTAAAATGTGTCTATTTAAATTAAAAAGAAGATTAATTTATAAGTAGAAAATAATTATGAATAAGTAAAAGCATATTACATTAAAAACAAAATTAAGTATAATTAAATAATGTATGTTAGCAAAACTCATCATTACCCTTAGGATATATCCCATGCTCATTGATGGGGCAATCTCGACTGATATGACCTTGTTCTTTGCATATGAAACAGGTAGCAAAAGGAAAACCTAGTAATAAAAATTAAAACACTAAATATAAAAGTTCTTAGGATATAATTATGGCATAAAATAAATACCAAATTAAGAAAACATACACAAACTTATTAAAAACTTTACTGCATTATACTTAAAATTTAGTTCATAATATGTGTGTTTATTTATATGAAAGCTAACTGATTTAAATAAAAAAAAAATTAATGGAGGAAGAACTTTCATGCTTAAAATTGAGTATACATTCTTTGAAAGAAAAAAAATTACAGTCACACTTTAAGTTGTAATCTACTTAAGAATTCATTTACAGGGGTCTGTCCAGGCCAAATTTACTACCATTTGCAGTACCTTCACAATTTCAACTTGAGGAAAAATGGTAGCTTCACAAAATACTTTTTCTTAAAATTTTATTTTTGTATCCCATAGGAAACGATAAATCCATATTTTTGTGTTGATTTTTTAATATAATTTTTAATTTTCACAAATTATGTCTAAATTTTCACAAAATAGGTACCTCTCAGAAAAACATAGACAGACCCCTGATTTATCAAAAGTCCTAATTTAGCAAAAAAAAAATTTAAAGAAAAAAAGGGATTTATGTTCACAGACTGTATACAATTTCATAGTGAAGCACATATCTAGGATTTAACATAAAATTTTTCATAAATGCTTAGAAAATTATTTTTATTGAATGTGCCAGAAAAAAAAAAGCATCTTGAGCAAGTAGAATTTTCTTCTCTTTTATTATACAAAATCCTTGCTTATTAATGGGAATATCTAGAGTGCTATGGACTTTCACATAATACAAGTAGAAAAAGGAAGGCCTAGTAATCGAAATTAAAGTGCTTAATGGAAAATCTTATGGCAATATTTAAATGATAAAAATAAATACTAAATTAAGTCAACATACACAAACTTATTAAAAATTAAATTACAATAATATTATACTCATATATAAAAAAAAACCTCATAGATGATGAATAAAAGTGAGAAGTCTTAAAAAAATATATAGTCTAACTTTAAGTCGCAATCTACAGTCAAACTTATTTATGGCAAGCCCTAATTTAATAATAAAAAAATAAAATAAAAAAATTAAAAATGGGATCAAATTGTTAATACACTGTATAAAATTTTATTGTTATGCACAAATAAAGATTTAACAAGAAATTTTTCATAAAACCTTTGGAAAATTATTTTATTAAAGGTGCCAGAAAAAAAGTCTCTGGTTTTAGAAATTTTATTCCTTTAGAAAAAGTTTTAAAACATACTTTACAATGAATAAAGATAAGGAATGGGAAGGGGGAAATATGTGAGATCTCTCATCTGTTTTGTCATGAAGCATACAACAAGTTGAATCATAGTTCATAATGTTGCAACTGTTGAATAAGAAATTAAACATTGTCACTGAAAAAAGTATCAGAAATGCTGCTGCATAAACTATTGAATAAACTATACTTTCCGTTATCTGTTTGGATGTCGTTGAACAAGTGCTCGTAAATTATGTGAATAAATTATTATGAATCAGGCTTGTGAAACATTTGTTTGATCAGCTTCATATTTTGGTGATACATTGGTACATACATTTGCTCCATGAGTATTGCACGTCAAACAATGAAGAAAGGTACAAAGATCAATAGATATAAAGAAAAGCTTTTAATTTCAGTGTAAACCAAAAATATGACATTTTCAAATCTTTCATTTTTTTCATAATTTTGGGTGATTTAGCTTTAACTAGTGAATTGGAAGTTTTTAAAAGGTTGGCAGCATAATATGAATAGTTAACACTGAGTTCTCCCTAGGAATAAAAAAGAGCAGGGTACTTTCTCTCAGAAAAGGGTACTTTGAATATTGATAAGGCACTCATTCAACACCAAAAAAATTTATCGAAATGTGTAATATTATGCAATAACTGAATTCTATCCTCAACAGTTTTTAAATTACTTTTTAATACTATTTTATGCGTCTCTTTAAAAGTAATTTTTAAAATAAGAGAAAAATTTGCAGTTCAGACAATATCCGTGAATAAATTTTTTCGAAAAAAGTTAACTGAAAAAAGATCAAAGCCCTCCTTCTAAAACTGCACCGGAAAAACACTGGTTAACATAAATAAAGCAATATGCTTCGCATTACTTTTTCATTTTACAACAAAGATTAATTTTTATTAATGATTTCATTTTACAGCTTTGAGTCATAATAAGAAAAAAAATTGAAACAATAATTTTAAAGGTAAGGAAAATAGTAAATAACAGAATTGCTATCATAAACATGATTTAAATTTACTTCAATGCTGTTTTAACACAGTGAACAGTAACAATTAGTCAAAATTATTGTCATTCTGAATCACACTACTATAGACTCCAATACATTCATTCGTAGTCTTTAGGTATCACATAAATTTAAAAAAAAATTATATGAGTAAGTTTCCAGCCAAAATAAGTACAGTATACTCTCTTGAAGTCTCAAAGTTGAAGGGACGCTAAAAAAATTTCGAGATACCGAGTTTTTAGGAGAACAAGTTTAGAACTAAGTATGTTCTAAAAAGTCGAAACAAATATTCTGAAATATTACACTAAAAAGTAGAGTCATGAAACGAGAATAATTATGTACTATTAAAGATGTATGTAATGATAGTTGACTATAGGTCTAAATACAACAATAATTAAATTCTATTTTTAAAAGTAAGACAAAAATAATTAAATGCATTAAATAGAAAAGAATTGGGTTTACAATAATTTTACATAGGGATTTTCTGAAAAAAATTAACATAGCAAGGTTTTGAGAAAAATTATTCAACAAAGAAATTCAAATTAACATTAGGTGAATATATAATGTGAAGGGAAAAAATAATTTTTTGACATAATAAGGTTTTCGTGATATTGAGAGTATACTGTATTCATATCCAATGATTAGTGGATATGAATAAAAACGATTAAAGCACTTTTAATGCCCTTTTAATAGAATTTCTTAATTAAATTATATTTCTTTTCAATTACCTGTATAACTCGAAACCTTTTTATCTTGAATTTTTCGCCTTTCCTGTGAGATTCGAGATAAACAGGTTCGACTGTATTATGATAGAATTACCAATAAAGGATGGGTTAGTTAATGATCACAAAACGGTTAAGAAATGACTCCTGGAAATGATCCTTGTCAGGAAAACAAACAGATAGAATGAAAAAAGTGAATAAAAACTAAAAAAGAGATCTAAAATAAAATACTTTAAGCATGCCATATTTTGAATAGTTAGAAACCTATAATTGATTAGAAATCAACTGATGCTCAACAAATGGTATTTAATCAAAAATTACAATGTCAAAATAATTTTCAACCTAAAATAACATTTTTTTCTTTCATCAAGCTGGAAAAAAAAAAAACTATTCTGATACAAACTAAATTCAGTGCATCAATTGATTATTTTAAATGAACACATTTTAAACAACCATTTAGAGAAAAATAAATTTACAAAATATCACCTGTGATTTCCTTTTTGCACGTAGTATATTTATGATCAGTTGAGCCACATTTTAAACAAATGGAAGCAGCTTTATTATCCTCATTTGAAGGACAATTAGCTACTAAATGACCAGGTTTCCTACAGTTGAAACACATCTAAAATAATAAAAAATGTGAAAGGTAAATGTACAGCAAATTAAATTTAGCGTATTTTCTGCTTTTTTCTAAATACTTTCAAATAGAAACTTAGACATCAACAATCATTTTTTTTAATAGGCTAGCATAAATTTTTATGAAAAGTATATTTTATTTAAAAATGTAGGTACCTCTGGTTGTGTCAGTCTCCTATTGAGATGAAATTCTGTTAATAGATTTCCAGAAGGGAATATGAAAGAATGGGTCCACCCTATAAATGGGTGAGGCAGAAGTCGAATTCTTGGCCATAGATGGCACCCCTAGCGTCTAATAGTTTATAACAGTGTTTCCAAACTTATGACTTTTGTGTACCCTTTCTAAATTTTTTGCAATGTTGTGCGCCACTAATAAAATGAATTTATTTTTTACTATAAAAAAATTGCACAAAAGTTAAAAATCACAACTGTTGGTTTGTTAAGTAATCTTGAAGAAGTCATTAGTCTGCAAAAAGCCTATTTATTACGGTTGTTACATTTAAAATACTCAACTTTTTTTCATAAAGCATTATTCTAAACTTTTGAAAAAGATGTTCAAGGAAGCAAGCTTGTAATTATTTTTTCAATTATATCAAATTTTTTTAAAAGCTTAAAATCAAGATTCGGTTCATTGCATTTTTGTTGAAAATAGAATTTATTAACAAGGAATTCATTAAAAGAGCCAATAAAATAATTATTTTGAAATTTTATAAAAATATTTAATTCGATTTTGAAAAAAAAAATTTATTTTAAGTAAATTGAAAAGCTTAAGATGTAACATTATGTTAAATAAAATGCTCAATCCTGTTATTTTGACTTATAAAAATGGTTTTGCAGTTTATAAAAATGGTGCAAACATACAAAAAAAANAACAAAAAAAAAAAAGCGCACTAAACCAGAAGTTAGTGAAGAAAACATTGAAAAAGCAATGGAAGCAGTCAGAAATGCTGCATCTTTAAGAGCAGCATTCTGAATGGACTTTTCAGCTTTAAGATTAAAAAAAAAAAAAGTCAAATAATTGTTTGGATGATAAAACCAAACAATGTACAACTAACACAAAATGCTACAGTTCCAAATACACAACCCAACAAGTTTTTGATGTCAGGCAAGAAACCCTGTTTTATAAATACATAATTATATATGTTGTTTTTTTTGTCCTAAGCAGCTGTAGTTGGCAAGTACAAGTTCACACAAAACAAAAAACATTTTTTTAAACTTATAATAAAACTTTGTGTTTCATTAAAACACTATTCACTCTATTGATCAGACCAATAGTTATTTTAAGTAATGCTTCGATAAAGTAGCTAATTTTAGCATTGGTTATACAAAATTTTAATTTATTGGTATCGACTTAACAAAATTAATTTTTTATCATTTGTTTCAAGAAAACTTGGAAGATTTTTTCTCGCTCTTATAGTTAATGTTTATATACTTTTAAAATTTTAATATAAAAAATTAAAAGAGAAATAGACAATAAAAAAAGTCACATCAGAACTCTAGACTTCTTTGGATTCTTCATTTATGAATCGGATTGATTGGTAAATGAAGATAAGGGTACTTAACTTTCCTTCTAAGCTGCCTACCAGCCAACCTTAGGCATTTAAATAATAAATAAATATAGATGAATTTTTTTCAAAATTATAATAAAAAAAAGCTTTATATTTGAAAGTGGCTTAAAATAATTTGACTGATTCATAAAATTAATTTTATTTTTTTTTATTTTTACTTTTATAGATTTTAAATTTACTCCAAGTTATAGTAACTTTAATGAATTTAAAAAATAAAAAAATGGACAACATGTTACAACCCTAATAACAAGTTTTTAATTTTTAAAAACATTCAGGGGTAATTGTGGCACAAAGGGAAAAACCCTGAAAATTTTGTGCGTAAAACACAATTTTTCAAACTAAGATTTATACTAAAATTACCTATCAATGAAGAATATCACACATTTAGAGTAACTAATTTAATAAAAACTTAGTTCTTATAAGAAGTGCGATGTCAGATTTTAAAACTGTATGCATATGAATCATGATATATTGCACCGCATAACTTTTTAGATAAATAATAATAGCTATATAAACAATCAATAAGAGTTATATTAACAAAAATGATCAGAACTGTTAAATTCAACAATTTTTTTTAACTAAATTATATGAATATGGAATTTATGAATATTGGAATCACCCTTAAATCAGAGATAACCTCGATCTAACTAAATAAATATATCATAGTTCAACATGTAAGAAAAACCAAGTTGGAAAAGTTGGAAATTTTTAAAATTGCAATAGTTTCATATTACCTGGTTGGCGTGAGATTTCCGAAATTCATCTTGCGCTTTTCTTCTTTCTTTACGCATTATATCTTTGATTTCTTCGGTAGATAAATTTTTCTTTTTTAAAGCTTTTCTTATTCGTAACAATTTGCTTTCGATATTTTTAGGGAGCAGCATTATTCCAAGCTCTTTTCTCCTCTCCAATCGCTTTTTTTCATACAATTTATTTTTCTCCAATCTTCTCTTTGATAGCTTCTTCGATTTTAACTGTGCTGGATTATCTGATTTCTCAGCTGGAAGTGGAGAAGATGAATCAGACAGTTTTTTCTTTTGCTTTTTTAGCTTCTTTTTCTCATATTTTGATAACTGCTTTGCAGACAAAGATTCTTGCCCCTTTGGATTAGAAGATTCACAATCATTGCTTTCCTCTAATTTTTCAGTTAAGTCATTTTGATTATTTTCATGTATATTCTTAACTATTGCGTCAATTCTGATATTTTTTGTGGATGTATATAGTTTATTTTTCAGTTTTTTCTTTTTTGTATGCACAGGCTCAAGAGAATTTTTAAGAGATATCTCTTGTAACTGACCATTATTTGTTTCCGGGTAATTTAATTCGTCATTGTTTTTCTCATTAACAGAATCTTTAGAAACTATTGATTGAATTTTATTTTGGTTCTCATTTTCATTTTTAGATTTTAACTTTCCTTTGATATTCTTAGAAAGTTCTTCCCATGGAGTAGCATCTGGCAATTTCCTATTTTTTTTAAATTTAGCACTTTTTTTTGTGTGGGCCTTCTTAGCAGCTTTTTCTTTGCGAGCCATAATAGCAGCTTTTTTTGTGCGTGACATCTTACAGAACTAAAATAATAAAATAAAAAAAGTTATTAAAGATACCTACATCGAACTACTAAAAAAATAAGCAGTTTGAAACAGATACTTGTTGAAGAAACCAAAAACAGGTTACGTCAATTTTAATTTGGTTGTTAATGTGGCACTGCAGCTATATTAATAGGCTACTGGAAAGAGTGAGGAAGTCACCCTTAGATGATGAGAGTTGCATGTCCGTCGCTGTAGAAAAAAGACGAAAATTTGCGGAAGATAAGCAAAAATTTTAAAATTTAGTAAGGTAGGTAGATATTTTATTGACATCGCACTAGAGCTAATTTTGATCCTATGCAAAGAGGATGGCTCCCCTGCTACGGTAGCCAGATGACCTGCATGCGAAGTTGAGCACTTAACGGTAGAACAGTTTAACGAAGAGCGATACAGTGTACCCTCCGTCCCTATGCAGGCTGATCAAAGTGGTCACTCACCCGCTTACTGACCGCAACCAGTGATGCTTGACTTTCGTGTTCTATTGGGAACCGTGTCTCTACGATCAGTACACTGTGAAAATTAAAAATTTAACAAGAACACGAATATTTATATACAATATAAGCATCTATATTATGTAACAAATAATAAAATATTTAAAAAAAACCTAAGGAGTTAAAAAATTTTTTTCTTCAAATCTTATGGAATATAATTGTCTTAATTCATAGTAATGGAATCTTCTGTTAATCAGTTTTAATATAATGAACAGATATTCACTTTATCAGATAAGATGATTGTAAGTTTAAAATTGATAACGTGAAAAAGAAGTCTAAAATTGAATTCAATTTACTTTTCTTTTTTTTCCAATTAACAATTTTTCTTTAAAACATGTTAGGTTATAATAATGTATACAATACAAATTTTTTTTGTATAATATCATCTGATAATATTAATAACATTTTTTTAAACTAAGAAAAATAAATATTCCTTTTATAACAATTTAGAAGCAAAATCTTAAATAGGGTACTTGCAATGCAAAAATTCTTCATTTGCTTCCATTTTTATGTTTTTTCTAACAGTTTAGTCGAATTGTTAGGATAATTTAAGAGCCGGAGAAAACACTTGCAAGCAGTTTAAATTCAAACAAATTAAATTTAAGAAAGTTAAAAAAAATTTTAATACACCTTTTTAAACTATTTTCACATGAATTTTTTTTTTAAAAAAAACCTATATATACATTAAACTACTTAAGAGTTGATTTGAATATTCATACTTAATTGTATTTGATTAAAAATTGAGTATGCTTTTTGTATGTAAAATTACAACTATTTTGATTTCAATAAATTAATATTTTATTTTAAAAATGACAACTTGAAAATTAGCAACTTGATAGCTTGAAAATTATTATAACATTTTAAACTCGACAAATTATTTTAATGTTTGATATTTCTGTTTAAAAAAAATCCCCCCCCCCATNGAGTTTCCCCCATTTCTTTCACTTGGGTTGGAAGAAATTTAATTCTACCAGGGTGATTTTATCTATTGTGGAAAAAACTCTGATTAGCATGTTTAGAATAAGGCCCTCAAACCATTAAGATTGACCCCTACCTGGAGAAAATTAAATTACTTGAACAAAAGGACATGCACACATTAATATATAAATCTTAAACACTTACTTTTTCTACCTTAATATTTAATCATTAAAAATGGTATCTAAAATTGTGTAGATTGTATAACAGCAAATATGTCCTCATCTAAAGCTGTGCTTCATTAAATCACATTTTTTTAATAAGCAAAACCATAGAATAGGTGAAATTTGCAAAGACAGCCTTATGAGGCATATTTAAAAAAATTAATAAAACAAAAAAACATAGTCATATATAAATTTCCTTTAAAATTCATTATTATATAATTATTCATATAATCAAGTCTTTCTGCTTGTGCAGTTTTTATTTTCTTAAAGAAAAAGAAATGTTGCATGTTTTGAAAACTATTAAGTTAAAAATTCTTACTTTTCAAGCCGGAATACCTCTTTTTTGAAAAATAAAATCCTACAAAACTAAAGTAAATCAATATTTTTTAAACGTGGATAGCTGATTAAATTTAATACATATTTGGAATTATACAGAAACAATTTATTAATAAAACAGAACAAAAAATTCCTATTACCACACGGTTGACTGTTTATGATTGAATTGGAGAATCGACGACAAGCTCTAAGCTATCTGCTTACAGCTTTATGCGATATGTAATATATGAGCAATATAACTGCATGCTAAATATTAAAAACTGTTAATTTTCCTCATTAATAAATATTTTTTTCCTTTTGCTCCTGAATATTGTCTATTATTTAATGTACTGTTTTAACACTAATATAGGTCATTTGAGTAAGCTATGTGAAGAGCGTTCATTAGTATATCTATGTCTTTTTTTGAAGCTGGCAATAACTCAATAGTTGTTATTAAACAGTGTAATTTGTTGATCTCGTCTACTATCTAGTGTCGTTAAGAAATTTAATTGTTTGTCACTAATTCATAATAATCTATTTCTAACTTTAAAAATGGATGATGATCTAGAGGAAATGACGCGATTGCGTCAAATGCGGAACAAACAGCAACAGAAAAAAAGTTCTATAAAAAATACAAATTTGGAAAATAAACCAAGCTCCTCAATTGCAAATAACAGCGATGAAGATGCCATGTCATCTCTCATGGGATTCTCTAGTTTCGGCAAGAAAGCTCGTACTTTTGATTTTGAAGCTTTATTTGAACAAACTAGAAGAGCTGCCAAAGAAAAATTCGGCTCTGCTGCAGAGAGTGTGGAAAAGGACACTACTAAAAATACAAAAACTAATGAATCGTCATCTAGTGATTCTGGAGAATCCTCATCAAGTGGCTCAGGAGAATCCTCATCAAGTGACAGTGATTCTGAAGATGAGCTTATAGGTCCACCGGTGCCTGAGAACATTTTAAAAGATCAAGAAGCAAAAGAGGATAGTTCTGATTATGAGGAAGAGACTTCCACTCTTTTGGAGGACAGGTACAGGGTTATACCAGTGAGTCATGAAGTTCAGTTGGAACACGGGAATAAAACCGTATCTGCCATAAGTCTAGATCCAAATGGAGCCAGACTTATATCCGGAGGATATGACTTTGATATTAAATTTTGGGATTTTGCTGGTATGGATGTATCCTTGCAATCATTTCGTAGTCTTAGACCCTGTGAGTGTCACCAAATAAAAAATCTCGAATACAGCATTACCGGTGATGCTATTTTAGTAATAGCTGGCAATTCACAAGCCAAAATTCTAGACAGAGATGGATTTGAATTAATGGAATGTGCCAAAGGAGATCAATATATAACCGACATGGCTAAAACTAAAGGACATGTCGCTATGCTGAATGATGGTTGTTGGCATCCACGTACAAAAGAAGAGTTTTTAACATGTTCAAATGATGGAAGTGTAAGGATCTGGCAAATGGATGAAAAAGCAGTTCAACGTAATGTTATAAAACCACGGCAACAAGGTGGATTGAGGGCTTTGCCTATATCATGTCGCTACAGCAGAGATGGATTGCTGGTGGCAGCGGCGTGTCAGGATGGATCGATTCAAATGTGGGATCATCGTAAACATTTTGTCAATACATCGCATCTCATACGAAATGCACACGAAAAGGGGACAGATACATCATCAATAGCATTTTCTCATGATAATTATTATTTAGCCTCAAGGGGCGGAGACGATACTTTAAAATTGTGGGACATCAGAAATTTCAAACAGCCCATATTTGTTGCTAAAGATCTTTTTAACAGGTATCCAATGACTGACTGTAGCTTTAGCCCTAATGATAATTATATTCTTACTGGTATATCATTAAGAAAACATGAAAATGTGGGGAAGTTGGTTTTTGTCGATCGCAACACTTTTAAAACTGCTTATGAACTAGAGGTTGGAGATTCAGATGTGATAAGAAGTATCTGGCACCCAAAATTAAATCAAATAATTGCTAGCACAAAAAGTGGCAACGTTAAAGTGTATTACAATCCTGATCTAAGTGAAAGAGGAGCCAAGTTGTGTGTTGTTAAAACAAAAAGAAAAGCTAAGCAAACTGAGATGGTTTTTGAACAACAAATTATAACTCCACATGCATTGCCTATGTTTAGAGTTGACCGACCTAGAAGCACCAAAAAACAAATGGAAAAAGACAGGAAAGATCCTCTTAAATCCCAGAGACCTGATCTTCCGGTGACTGGTCCTGGTCAAGGTGGGCGTATTGCGTCAGCGGGAAACACATTATCTTCATTTATTGTAAGAAATCTTGGTTTAAAGAAAAAGATAGATGACACATTAGATCCCAGAGAAGCAATTTTAAAATTTGCAAAAGATGCTGCAGAAAATCCTTACTGGGTAACTCCAGCATATTCAAAAACACAACCAAATCCTATTTTTACTTCCAATGAAGAAAAAACTGATGAACCGCCTGCCAAACAAATGAAGATATAGAAATTTTAGAAAATATTCTGTGTTATTTTAAGTATACTTAGAAATATTAAACATTATTTTTTATTATGACATTTTCAATTTGATTTATTTTGTTAAATGTTTGTTTTCACAAAGATAAAAGAAACACTTAGCATACTAAATGTCATTATTATATTTTGATTTATCTATTAAACAAAACTATACTATTTATTTTAAATAATCATAAAATCACTTTTTCTTATTAATTTTAAGATTTATTTATTTGTTTGCTTGTTAAATGCTTTAAGAAAAAAATATTTTTAAACTGTGCACGCAGGTTTGGGGTTTTGGACAGGACGTGGATTTTACTGTCTTAAAGTGTCCAAAACCTTGAACTTTGATAAAAATGTTATACGTGTAACCATTGTACACATAATAATTATATCTATCAATAAATATTTGATATTTTTTATACAATTTACTTTAACTTATTAAAGGAAAATAATATAATATAATAGGAAAAGGTTTATAATTTTTGAAACAATTCATTGAACGACAAAAGTGAATACCTTATAAATATGCTTTTAATACTGATAAATTATGTTTTTGCATAAGAAAAAATAATGCAATATTAAAAAATTTTTGAAAAAATACTAAATTTGTATAAAAATTAACTTTTTATTTTTCACAATATTTTTTTTAAAAAAATGTTATAATTTCTGCATCACAGGATGATAAAAAAGACATCTATTTAAAAAAAATAGTTTTTAAATATAAATATCTTAGTTTCAATTGGAAATACAAAATAACTGAAAAATTTATTAATAGTTTTGAAGGGCATAACATCAATTTCAGTCACTGACATTGGTGATGTATCACCACTATGCTAAAAGAATTGAACATGAATGAAATAAAAGTATTCTTGAATAGTGCTATAGATAAATAAACCTGTTTATGACTAACCAAGCACTTAGTCCCTAATAGTTTAACCTGTATGGCTAGTCAAACTTTAGTTATGTGCTATTGAATGTTAAAGAGGACCAAGTGAACTTGATTACTGATTAATCTTCCTTTGTTTAATGTTTAAATTGAAGAGTCAAACAATATTAATAAAACATTATACTTTTAAAAACAAATATTCTCTAGTAGATTTAATTATCAATATGTTAATAGTTCTGTGTTTATTTTACCTTTTAAATATTGTTCAGATAAAATTCTGACATAATTTAAGTAAAAGGGTTTTGGTCAGGATGGATTAATCCATTCTGTCCTAAACCTTGCCAACCCTGTGTGCACATTATAGAAACTCTTTTCCATTCAGTTCTGAAATCAGATACCAAAAACCTAATGTTGCTTACACAAGGTAGAATATTAATGTTGCTCATTAATCAAAAATTAAATTACATAACTTGGGCAAATCCTGAAGAAATAATAATAAAATAAAGAAAACGCTTGAAACGAATAGTTAAAAAAAGCTCTCCAAAAACAATGAATCAGATATTAATGAAATTTTTTAAAATGTATTTAATTACAAAGTTTTGAGGGAGATTGAAATATACCTGCTTAGCAATTATTGCTCGATCAGAATATATGTCAAGAATCATTTTTCTAAAGAAAATAACTGTCCATGCAACAATAAAAATATTAAAAAAATAAGAATAAATTTTTTAGTTACATTAGCATTTATTTAATTGTTTATTTTGACAAATCTTTAATTCTCAAATAAATTATTTAAAGGAAAGAATCTAATTATAAAATTCTTTTATGAAAACAGTCAAACTTCATTAAAACAAAAAGTAGCAAAACTCATTTAGTATTAATGGCAATTCATATTTATTGTAAAACATCAATTGGCAATTAGGATTATTTTAATGTACAGATCACTGAAGCAAACCGGAAAAATCAGTTATCTGGAATAGATGATCCCGATCGTTCCGGATAATAGGTTCCCTACTGTATATAATTGAATCTTTTGACATAAGTATGTAATTGAATAACTTCAATCAAAAAATCATCTTGTTAATATTTTTACAATATATTTTTTCCCCTTCACAGAGGATCAAAATTGTAATAGCCTGTCTTCGGATTATTCTCAAACTATCGCCTGTACTTCATTGTCTAGCTCTAGTGTGACATAAATAAAGTAGTATTACTACTCCACTGATCTATTACTAAATTGACGATTTTATGATTAATTATCCTACCACAATTAGTCAATAAGGCACTGAACATTTGTGAAGAGCTAGGGTTTGATCCCCAGAGTTGGCTTGAAGCCCACCCTGCTTCAGATCCATGGGTGCTAGTTTGTCTAAGAAATAAACGCTGCCTGTGCACAATGCTGACCACACTGTAAAGCCTGAACATCCACGAATCTTTTGGCATACAATGGGCTTTTGTTGGAATGCTCTAATTTTTATTCTAGTCTATAAATAAGGTAAATAATGAACCATTTGATAAATAAATATATAAGAAAAATAAATAAATTAATTTGTAGCCGAAGACATAAATTTTCACTATCTAACGAATTGAATAACAAATAATTTAGTAATCAGGAAATCTTATTAAATACCAGATAGAAATAAAATATAGTCTGAGAATTGTGCTTTGAAATGAAAAATAAAGTTTCCGCGGTAAAAAATTAATAAAAAATCAATTATAAATAAAAAATTTGCTGAACTTTTCATTTATTTGATGAATTTAAAAAATGAACTAAGTAGATACAGATAAAGGAAATGTGACTCACTAAAAAAAAAGTATCTAAATAAAAACTATCTGAATATGGTAAAATTCACCATGTTTCTGGTTCCATAGGAACATCAAAAAGCTTATTAATCTTAATGTTTTTATTATATACCNAAAAAATTTGCTGAACTTTTCATTTATTTGATGAATTTAAAAAATGAACTAAGTAGATACAGATAAAGGAAATGTGACTTACTAAAAAAAAGTATCTAAATAAAAACTATCTGAATATGGTAAAATTCACCATGTTTCTGGTTCTATAGGAACATCAAAAAGCTTATTAATCTTAATGTTTTTATTATATAGCGTGACATGTGGAATTGTGCCATTTTCGAAAAAAGGGAAGTAGTTAAAGTTTAAAAATAAAATTTGAAATGTATAATAAATAACATATTTCGTTTCTTAACTGCTAGCATATGTTTATATAATACAGCATGACATGTGACAAGGATCAGGTGGAAATGTGACAAAGAGGGGATCAAAAATATAGGAAAAAGTGTAACATTATAAATAACCCTTTAAGCCAGTGTTTCCCAAACTTATGACTTTTGTGTACCCTTTCTAAATTTTTCGTAACGCTGTGTACCCTAATAAAAAAAACTAATGTATTTTTTACTATAAAAAAAATAGCACAAAAGTTTTAAAAATTACAACTGGCTTTTGACAATACTAATTATTAACTGTTAACTCAGAAAAAAATAGCCAATAGAAAAATACTTAATTGTAAATTTTCATGGAGAGCTTTGTTTTTAAATAAAAATGTTCGAAATGTTTTTTTTTGTTGTAAGATATTCGCATAAGAACGCGTACCCCCGCTAAACTGTTCCCGTACCCCTGGGTGTATGCGTACCACACTTTGGGAAACACTGCTTTAAGCATTTAGGGGATTCATAAAAGACAAGGAAGAACAGTGACAAAATTTAATGTTTTTCATTTAAAGTAACAGATGTGGTTTAAAAATTAAAATTTGTTAAATTTCTAAAGTTATTAATACACATAACATGTGATTAATATGAAATTTAACGCATAAAAACAAATTCCATGCGAGTAGATTCAGCATATAATGTGCCCACTACTTATTAAAATCTCAATCGTTCTGATGAAATTTGATTTCATAAATCAATAATTAAAAAAAGGTGAGGGATAATGTTCACATTAGTTAAAAATTGTTCTTTAAATAATGAGCCTAGTGTCTTTTCCCTTGGCCAAATGTTGAACTATATAAATAATTTTTATACATAGTCTATTTTTTTGTAAAAACACAAGCAAAAATATAACCTATCTCAGCTGCTTTTATAAATATTACATAAAATATTCATATCAATTATTTTATCGAATGGAAGTTGAAAATTGTTTGAGTGGGTACTTTTGACAAAATTAATAGGTTTAAAAAAAATACATTGTTTTTAATTAATATAGTACAATGCCCCAATTTTTTAAATTACCCTCTCATATTATTTTATGTGTATATTTCAAAAAGTAATTCTCTCTCAGAATCAAAATAATTTGTTGTTTATAAAAATAATTAAAGGCATGCTAAAAAACAATCTCTGTATATATTTTTTCTCTTCAAATAAAGTAAACTATCAAGAAAAGATTAATTTATTAACTTGAAAGCTTGACGGAAAAATTTTAACTCCTTGTTAGATGATCAGTTATAAAAATATACATTAAAGACACACCTAACATACTTATAACCCATGTGTAGATCATGTATGTCATTTTGTTAAATTCTGATTTAATAAAAATACTCAACTTAGCGAACAGTTAAGTGAACAACATTAGTTTTAATGGCCAAGTTAACAAACACAGTTTTTGCAACAACAACAACAACAAAAAATATGTAAATTACTTCCTGTGCCTTCACTTAATATAATGGAAGTTCATTTATAGATGGAAATCAGTTTTTGACAACTTCAAATAACAAAGATTTACTATTTTATTTAGGACAAGATATGATAGATAGTTGAAGAAAAATACCTAAAGCTTATAACAAAAATGCCCTGGTAATAAAGTAAGATTTATTTTTAACTCAGTTATGAATTTTCAATGTTATTTATGAAACATTTGATAAAAAAAAAATGAAAAAGAAAAGAACCACTCAAATAATTTTACTGCTCTACTGGCACAATATTCGGTGATTCACTAGTTAAAAGTTATTTTTTATTTTGTTTACACTATAAAGAAAGAAAAACAAACCTTAACTAAAGTAAGATCTTAAAAAAATGACACATAAGTTTTAAATTAAATTTATTTAAACATGAGTATGCTTCAGAAAGTAATGGTTAGGTACAGATAAATATTATATTTGACTTAATAACAACATTGCAATCAAGCTATTAATGAGTAATCTTACAGTAATCTAATTATATACTCTACATGGTTATATATTGAGTAGTCTGACAGAAATATGAAACCTTTATTTTGTCAGACCAATAAGAAATTTATACACAGGGTGCATAGCCAGATTTTTCAACAAAAAATAAGAACATTTTAAGCACTTTTTAAGTACTTAAAAAATATTTTTAATCACTTTCCAAAGAAAAAAAAAATTTCATAATTAGGATCTGTGCAGTAATAATTTTTTTTATCCTTAAAAGTTCTTAATTTATAAACATAAAATCAATCAAATTCAAAAACTTTACATAATCATGATAAAATAACTAGTTTCTGATAAATATAGCAGAGAAAATTATGAAAAATCATAAATTTTTTGTAATGTAGTATGATAATCAACATGGCAAAGAAAAAATCTCTTTTTGAAAGATACAAAAATTAAGCAATTTTTACAAACCCGGAATTTAAAAAAAAAAGCATCTTTAAAAAACAAACAAAAAATAAGCACTTTTTAAAACCACTACGCACTCCACTCTAAAACATCTTTCTGCTTGAGAATATATCTCAACTGAGATTCAGTGCTTAAGTAAAAAAAAAAGACAAATCAGACTTTTAAAAGACAAATGAAACTTTTTTTTAAAAATTTTGTTTTAAAAGACAAATGAAATGTTTTTAAAAAAAGTATTTTAAAAGACACACGAATCTAATCACAATTTAGTTCCTATAAGAAGTTGAAAAATATTTTTGATGCTACAGAATTTCTTGGAAACGTTTAATAAATTTTACAAAACTAAAAGAAGCTAGTATAAAAAATTGGAACAGAATCGCTAGCTACATGATTATTAGAACTCACTGTATGAAAGTAAAAAAATAACTCAAATGCTATACATCCAAACTAATAATAATAAAATGATGTATTGACAAAAAATATTCAACTTCCATACATTTTTCGCAGTTTTAAACAAGACTAAGTTTTACTAAAAGTTATGGAATGCTAAAAACACAAAATGTACCTTAAAATGAATACAAAAAATATTCAAAGTTTAAAAAACCCACAGTGTTTCACTTATTTACACAAATTCTATGTACAAAATAGACAGTAAAAATAAAGCTTCAAAGAAATTATTCAGACATATCATTTATCGCTTGCTGTTCTTGTGTTGGAGCAGGACCAGTTAAAGGACGCCGGAATAGTAAAATATGACGTTCTAGAAATAATAACAAAAATTTATTACAGTCTAATACAGAATAGATTTAAATTTAAGAAACTATTATCATAGGTTTAGTATAAAATTAGTATGGTATCAATCTCAGCAAATTAAAATTTTTAAAACAAAACAATATTGATGAGATGTGGGATTTAATATCAAGAAAGCTAGAATTGGATATGTAATTGATTCCACACTAATATTCATACTTGAATAATAATGTCTTCATATTGAAATAATTTATGCTTCACTGGTAGAGTTTGCAGAATGGCTTAAAAAAAAACAAAATATCAAGACACTACAGATTCAAACAATTTGAATATTCAACTTTTAGTTCGATAATTTTTAAATGACTAACTTGAGAATTATTTGATGAAGAGACAGGGTTGGCAGGTTTTTGACATGTGACAGTTTAAACCATGGNAGTTTTTAATGGCATTCTACAAAATATGTAACTTCACCAATTTATTTATAAAGATCTCACAATGGAAGTTTTATCTTTCGAAAAAAATATTATTCTAACAATATCTGTGCCAAATTTCTAAATGGTACATCTACAGAATTATGTAATTTTTTATTTTTTCCTGTTTAAAATGACAAATTATGAAATAAAAATCAAATTATGTGTAATTTAATGAACAGTTTTGATAAAAAAAGCAACATATTTATGCAAATAAGAGTTATGTCAATGTAAAAAACATTTTTTTTCTTAATGATTTGATAAGAATATTTTCTTAAAATTTGGCACAAACATTGCTAGACAGGAGTTAAAATATATTTTTTTCATAAAATTAAAAACTTCAGTTCAGAATTTTTTTTTTGCTTATTTTTAAAATTGCCTTTACCACGTTACAGATTCTAAAAAGTGCAATTGAAACTGAACTAACTGATAGTATTTAGCACATTAGATCAAATAGTTCTAAAATTAGGATTGTTTGATAATTACAAATCTGTAAAAAAAAAAAAAAAATCAGAATTTTCGAAATTTTAAAAATGTTCAACAGGGTGAGTAGCCAAATCTTTCAACAAACAATAAGTATTTTTTAAGCACTATATACATTAACAAAATGCAAAAAAATTTTCAAAGACTTTTCATGATTATGATAAAATAACTAGTTTCTGACAAAGAACTTTTTTCTTGATTACATTAGCCATTATAAAATGATCAAAAGACTTTTCAGTTCGATATCAGAGGGTCGAAAATGAAGCCTGAAATTGAGAATATCTTGCAAAATGCAAGAGTTGCGCATGAAAGTGCAAATCTCACCGAACCCAACTCAATAGACGCACATGTAAACTCACAAGTATTTCATAAAACCTGTAAAATGATTGGCACTTTCATACACTATGAATCAACGGTACGCCGAAATAGATCATGGTTGAATGAATTGTGAAAACACTGAATAGAACAATGAGAAAATCTCGCTTTTGCATAATACATGTAAAAACCAACACAGTAAAGAAAAAAAATCTCATTCTAGAAGGAAAATTAAGCACTTTTAAAAAACACCCAATGAAAAAAGCACCTTTAAGGGCTTTTAAAAAACGAAAATAGAAAATAAGCACCTTTTAAAAATGCTACGAACCCTGTTTAAAGCAGGAACAAATAATGACAAAAATTGAAATTGAGTATTTTATATGCTAAAAATAGTTAATTGATTTAATGTGGAATTACCATTACTGTACCAAAGAAATAAAAAAAGTCAATGTAAGGTTACAGATTCATAAAATTAGTAACTTTACAAACACATTTTCAGTACCTTTACATTTAATATACCTTATCAATAATTTAGAATTGAAGTATTAGAATTGAAAAGTGTTGATTCAATGTTACTAAAATAAAATCCAATGACATAAGAACCAACAAATTACACCTTGAAAAGTTAAAAAGCTAATGAATAACTATAAACAAACAAAAACAATAGCATTGTCACTAACACCAGTCAAAACAGATTTTGAATGAAAAAGTGGTGAAAATTGTTAAATATGGTCTTTAAAAGTATTTTAAGAAGCCAAGCAATAAAAGAATTAACAAATAGAAAAGATAAAAAAAACATAGTAAAATTCATGAGGTTAATTAATAAAATGCCCCGAGGCAGAATTTTTTCGAGCTTTCTGAGACATGCCTTTCTAATACTAATATCTTTCTGCAAGATACTTCAAAAAATAAGTAATATTTTTTTATTCTAAAATTATGGACGACATTCTGGCATTTTGTAGGGGGAAAACACTGATTATTTCCTTTTTTGTATTTTGTAAATCATCATCACATTAAAAAAAAAATTTGAAATCCGTAGCAGTAACTAATGAAAAAAAAAAGATAGAAGTCTAAATCATGCGGATCGGATGATGAAAAGGGCGTGTTTTCATTTCGAGATTCGATTATTGTAATAAATAATATCATATATAAAAAATATTGGATTTTAACAACAATGTGGCAATTAATAGTATTGCATAAAAATACTAGAACGAAAATTTCTGCAGAAAAGAAAACCAAATTTTTTTACTTTATTATTATTTTTTTTTCATTATTATCAATCGAGAATAGAAAAATCATAAGCATTTTTTTCTACTCTGATGAGCGAGAAAGGCATCTTTTGAATTATAATTCTGAAGAAAACATAAAACTTTCGAAAATTTCTGCAGAAAAAATAACCAAAACTTGTCACTTCCCAAAAGGAGAATCTCTCTGCAAGAGTTCCGTAGCGTGCTGCGACAATAGCCACGGGGGCACGCGAATTGCCAAACCATACCATAGATTATAAACGTCCCGATTGCAGGTGGAATTGGCGATGGATTACGCGTAAATGTGGTGGGAGAACGAAAGTACATCAACCTAAATAGTGTAATTCGATATTCTTTTCCCCCTGCTCGACTAGCCATGATGAATAAAAATAACTCATACTAAGTTTTAC